AGTTGTCTTTACATGTCTGTTTCCTCCATTCTGAGTTTCAGAGATTTTTTTCCACAAGAGTCAAGTAACGTTACAGATTTCTTATAAATTTTTCCAAAGCACTTTGAAGTGTTTTTTCAGTCTTAGACCTGTTATTTCAGTTAGCAGATTTTAGATCTTTTATGATGAACAAAAGACCCCCAAGCGCATCATAGAATCCCAGAGTGGTTTGGATTGGAAGGACCTTAAAGCCCATCCCATCCATCCCCTGCCGTGGGCAGGGACACCTTCCACTATCCCAGGTTGCTCCAAGCCCCATCCAACCTGGCCTTGGACACTTCCAGGGATGGGGCAGACCACATGCCCTGCTTCTCTGGGCAACCTGTGCCAGGGCCTCCCCACCCTCACAGGGAAGAATTTCCTCCATATATCTAACCTAAATTTTCTCTCTTTCAATCTGATCCCATTCCTTGTCCTGGCACTCCAGTTCCTGATGCAGAGTCCCTCTCCAGGTTCCCTGTAGCCCCCTCAGACACCAAAAGGTGCTGTGATATCTCCATACAATCTTCTCCAGGCTGAACATCCCCAACTTTCTCAGCCTGTGTCCATAGGGGAGGTGCTCCAGCTCCTCCTCTGGACTTGCTCCAACAGTTCCATGTCCTTCTTATGTTGGGGGCCCCAAAACTGTGCAAAGTATTCCAGGTGAGGTCTCAGGAGAGCAGAGCAGAGGGGGAGAAAATCATCCCCTGACAAAGCAGTTTGGAGAACATACCTCACAAATGGAAGTCTTGGATCCTGACTTGGTTCTGGACATGAACACACTGAGTAGCCTCATCACCACCAAGTGCACTTCGTTCACAGGAGAGCGCTCGTTTTTCTTAGACACATCCTGCAACAACAGACACATCCTGCTTGTTCAATCACAGAGCTGAGCAGTGACCCAAGCCTCTCAAGTTCAGTGCTCTGGTCCTCAGGAAGCATTTCAAATTTAACTTCAAGCAGTAATACTAAAAAGGAAGCACAAATGCCTTAACAGAAGCATAAACAGTGGCCTGGCTGCCAAAAAACAGTCCCACACAAATGAAAAGCTACCTATGTCAACCATACATCACTGATCATGGTTGTTTTCAGAGTTTAATTCAAGCAAAACAAATTTTCATGCTCATTCGTGGATGCCAAAAACAGGAAACAGTGAGAGTTCCACTCACGTAATTTTCTACTTTATGTGAAGTAAAGCAAGAGAAATAAAATGCCTGAACTCATCCACACAGCAGTGTTTGTGTTTGTATGACCCCCACACATCTAATTCCTCCATGGACAGAAACCCTGTCTAGAAAGAGCAAGTTCAGAGCACGTGCACACACCTTTTTGTCCATGCCCAGCTCTGCAATCAGCTGGGACAGAAGGTTATCCAAAGCTCCCTTATCTTTCTCATCATCTCCATCTAGGTCTGTTGTGAGCATCAGAATTACCTGGGAATAAAAATCAGAGAATTATTACAAGGCAGGTTCCATGTTTCCAAGATAAATAAATTATCTTTTAAAAACAGCACAAATTTTATCTTGACTTATCTATGTTCTTTCCTACATTCTGCCTGAGACATCACACCCTAATTTGAACATTCAGTATAAACCCAAAAGATCTTTCCAAATACATCAGAGTTCAATGATTTGAGCCCTCAGGGTCATCAGTCAGCTGTAAAGTCATACTGAGAAAGGGTACAAGTCCAGCAAAAATCTATGGGTGAAGAATGCTCTGCAACACTTTAAAGACACACATTGTGACTGGGCAGGAAAGAGAAAGGGAAAAAGCATGTGCAAACAGAAACCTGAAGTATTAGTAGTGATTAACTGTTTGACTGAGGCTGAACTCCTGACCCTCCTCACTCACCTGCATGTAAGGGATGGCTCGGACCCCTCCAACATTCCTCAGCTGAGGTAAATTCTGCAGCAGCCTCTCCAGCAACATCAGTCGCACCATGTGCAGCCTGGGAAGTCAGAGCCAGCAATCAGACACATCTCAAAACATATCAGACTCAGCAGCATCTCCAACAGAGCACTGCAATTTGCCACAGAAATCCCAAGGGCATCAAATCCTCCCAAAGAGGAGTGGACTTCCTCAGGCTTCCCCGTAAAGTGATGTCAAGATACAGAGCATCTGACAATGGATGTAGTTATTCACTTCAGAGCTACACTGCCCAGCCTGGCCACCTGCAGAATCCAACTGCCTGGAAGCAGATCCTGCAAATCAGCCCCACACTACTCTGTACAAGTGACTGAGCATCTACTCCCATAGAATGAAAAACTGCAGATGTTTCCAAAGTGCTCAGGACACTTGTACACGCTTTTTTCCTAACAGTGAATTTCACAAGCTCACAAGATTGTAGTGATTCCTCTGTTAACTAGACTCATGCAGGACTCTCTCATCACTTCACAGAGGCAGCAGTTCTGTGGGACACATGCTGGGTGTGTGCACCACGTTATGTGGTGATTGCACAGAGGGTGGTCAGGCACTGAACAGGCTCCCCAGGGCAGTGGTCACAGCCCCAAGGCTGCCAGAGCTCAAGGAGTGTTTGGATAATGCTCTCAGGGACAGGGTGGGATTGTTGGGGTGTCTGTGCAGGGCCAGGAGCTGGACTGGATGGTCCTTGTGGGTCCCTTCCAGCTCAGAATATTCTAGCTCAGGATATTACACTTTACGGACTCCATGCTTTTGCAATGTCAGTTGGCTCTAGTCTGTGTTTCTGACTTTCCATTTTCATTTTCCAGCACAAGGAACCCACCATGAATTGCAGCACCTGTAGCCCACTCCTCTACAGTGTAAGCACAGAGCAGACGTGTTATTCCAGAAGAGGAAAGCAAAGCCCCTTGCCTGTTGCTGGTGTGGACGTCCCCCTCAGCCTCCCCTTCCCCTTCAGAGCCCTCTCCCTCCTGCTGGCCCGTGGTGGTGCTGATGGCGCCTGTGCTCGAGCTGACACTGCCTGGCCCAGCCGGGTGGCCCTCAGCAGTCGTGTCCCCATAGGCACTGCTTCGGCCAGACACTGGGAAAGAGAGAGAAAAACAGGGAAACACAATGTCAGAGTGATTGACCACGCATCTGGCTTGCTTCACAGCAACCAGCACAGCTGAACTGTAAATAGGAGTCAAGGGGTCTTTAGCTCTCTTCATAAAGCTACAAGAGAATCATTTCTCCAGATGCAGCTTCACACTCCTGCCATTCTTTCATTTGCCATCTTCATCTTTGTGGCCCAAATTGAACTGGTCCCACAGCAGTAACTTAAACCGAGTCAGACAAGGTGTGGATGGGCAGTGCAGACAATTATTTATCTGTGATTATTTTACCCAGGTGTCAGTCCCTTGATAAAAAGAGAGAAATTAATACTATCCCATCCAGAGTTAACCAGCAGTATAGTGAATTCTCTCAGTCTTGCTCTAGGCTACTGCATTCTGAGAAAAGAAGGCTTCAGGTAGACTCATAGCAGCCTTCAGTATCTTAAGGGGGCTTACAAAAAGGAGGAAGAGGGACTTTTTATACAGGTAGATAGTGACAGGACAAGGGGCAATGGTTTTAAGCTCAGAGAGGGCAGGGTTAGATTAGACATTAGGAAAAAATTCTTTACTCAGAGGGTGGTGAGTGAAGAATTAGTACAGGATGACCAGAGAAGCTGTGGCTGCCCAATTCCTGGAAGTGTCCAAGGTTGGACTGGGCTTGGAGCAACCCGGGATAGTGGGAAGTGTCCCTGCCCATGGCAGAGGGTGGGACGAGATGAGCTTTAAGGTCCTTTCCAATCCAAACCATTCCATGATTCCATGATTGTACAGGTCAGCCAAATCCACTGCTGACTCCACACTTCTACAGAACCACAAAAAGCGAGGAAACGCTTGGTCTGTACGGCACTTTGGCAGAAACCATAAAATGATGGATGGCAGCAGCTACTCGGAACTGAGATCTCTTCTCTGCCAGGGATTACCCACATCCTCTCACTGTGGTAGCCCCGGGAGAGCAGAGAAGAGCTGGTGCAGCAGGAGCCACTCACCGCTGTGCTCCCCAGCCACGGAGTCCACGGCACTGCCGCCGCTCTCCGAGCCCACGCTCCCGCCGTGCTCCGCGGGCGACGTCCGCAGGGTTGAGCCGTCGGTGGCAGCTGTGCTGCCCTCGTCGTCAGATGCTGGAGCTAAGAGAATAAAGAGAGCTGTTACAAGTAAAAACACTGCCTGGAGAGAACTTCAAAAGACACACAAGCTATGAAAAGAAAGACATGAATATTTGGTTTTGTTTTTGTGTCGATTTTCAACCATAAACAAAAAGGGAACTCGGTACGTTTAAGCCTGCTAAGAGCAGTGGAGGGGAGATATCCTGAGAGGAAACCTTCTCATCAAATACAGAGGCATGCAAGTTATTTGATGAACAATGTCTGGCTGTTTATAAATGCGAAGGAAATAGAGCACATGTTTTGTTTTGGCTGTTTTCTTTTAAGGCGAGGAAATCACTTCCTCAAAAGTCTACACTGAGAGTCCATCAAAGTAGGAAAAGGCCATAAATACAGTCAAAAATACAAGAAGCCAACAGTAAGAAGTGGCTCTTCAAAACCATATTTACAAACCAATTTAAAGCCATTTTTAGGTCAAAATCTGGAAGAGGTCAATTCCTCGCAGTGAACAGTTACCTGATGCTGTTGTATCCGAGAGCGTCCCGGCATCGAGAGAAGAGGAACTGGGGGCTTGGCCAGACAGTCCCAAGCTCTGCAGTCCAAGGGCACTGCTGCTGCTCCCTGCAAGGACAGAACCAGTCATGAGCGTCCTTCTTTTATGGAATTATGTTAACTCTGGCATTTTCTGTACATTTCATAGTTCTACTGTCTTTGGGTCATTGGTGGTAACACCAACAGCTTTGCTTTTGTTTCATTCCCAGTTTCCCCATATTCCACTTCCCTTTTCGCCTGACAAAGGCACCCATATCTTACCTTGCTGATCTTGCTGCAGGCTCAGGGCAATAGCCAATTCCACCATCGTCTCATCATCTGCATCTGGAGGGATATCCAGCATAGGAGGGAATCCCTCTGCTCCAGCCAGAAGAGCCTCCAGTGGAGAAGGGTTCCCATTATTCACATTCTCAGAAGTCTCCAGAACCATGGATTCAGACTATGGAGAGGAAACACAGCAAGAGCTTTCCCAAACCAGTAATGGAGCATTACAAACTGATCTATCAGAACTGAATTAAATTCAAGTCCTAGCACACCTAAAAGGCTCCAAAGAGAACCTCTGGACTCACCACCATCTCGAAGTCCCCGTGGTCAACTTCACTCTGCTCCTGGCTCTCCTGTCGGATGTGCTCACCATTTGCTATCCCAGAACTCTGCAGCTTGTCTTCTGCGTCGTCATCGTCATCATCATCCTTATCTCCTGAGTCACAAAGGATTCATTAATAAATGCACAATTCCTCACATCAGCCCAAACAATTAATGCTGGGAAAAACTAAGCTACCTCCAATTACCAATAGATTCCATGACACCCACAATTTGCTTCAATATCAATAAACATCTCTTGGATGGAGCTCTGATACCCTACTTTTGGTTTGCACACATCTCTGATTTATAAGAACTTGAAAACATGCACAAAATTACTAAGTCTGGATTACTATCCCCTAAATAAAATAATCAGATTTCCCTATCACTGAACGGGGAATACCTCAGAGAAATGTCCTCTTTGCATCCCAGAATATCAAAGAAGAGGTGACAGTTTATGAAATAAAATGTTAAAAAAGGCATTTAGGGGACAAGACAAAGCAAAAGAAAGGAGAAAGATTGATTTTAGTCCCAATTTATAATAAGACTACTTTATTTTCCTGTCTTTTCTGATGCATGAAGTAGGCAGGGGAATGCATCTGCCATACCCATGGGAGTGTTGCTGCGAGGGGAGGATGGCAAAGTGACGTGTCTCCGCTTGTTCCGTGGTCTCAGCACTCTGATCAAAGCTTGTTTGCAAGAAAAGCTCACTGCTGGATCCTAGAGGGTTAACAGTTAATCATTAAACTTCTTAAGCTGTAAGTGCTTATTCACAGTATTTGGGAAGATGGCTAAAACACCTGTGCCCCTCTGTTGGTCATGATTCATGTAAGACACAAGTCACTGCCTTAACTCCCTGTTTCCCTCAAGAGCCATAAAGCAACACTTAAAATTCCAAATGCAGCACGTGACAAACATTACTAAAATACAAAGAGAGAGAAATTCTCCGTCATTCACTTCTGGCTGTGTGTTTAGGGCTGAACAGCTCTATTTTGATTCTGTACTATGTATTCTCATTCTACCTGTATTTAGTTTTACGTAATTACAGAATCACAGAAACATTTAGGTTGAAAAAGCCCTCTAAGATCAAGTCCAACCATAAACTGAACACTGCAAGCCCCCTAAACCATGTCCCCCCCCGTGCCACATGTACACATCTTTTAAATCCCTCCAGGAATGGTGACTCCACCACTCCAGTGGGCAGCCTGTGCGAGGGCTGGACAGCCCTTTCCATGAAGAAGTTGTTTCTAATATCCAACCTAAACCTCCCCTGGCACAGTTACAGGCTGAAGCACAGCAGAGCAAGAGACACACCGGGCAAAGTAACATCTGCATGTAGATCTTGGATGCTGTATGGATACAATCCAGCTCACACGTGCAGTATCCATGGATAATATCCACCAAAGCATTGACTGTGGCTTCAACATGAGTGAGACCTAAGGAGGAATAAAAGTAGGACTGAAATCAGCTCGCTCTCTATTTCAACACGGAATGAGACACTGCAGAAGGATCTTTTGTTTGTAGACTTCGCGGAACAATGTTCACACCACAAATATATTGATTTTCAATCCAGCCTGAGCCAGTCTTGTCTGTCTAATGTAATACTGTGAACTCTATGTACCACCACCAATGAATATCCTCTAACACCACCCATGAAGCCAAATGCAGATAAATCAATCACCAGTCCCTTTTTACTGACACAATACAAGTACTCCAGAACAAAAGCTTTGGAGTAGAATTTGCAGCCGTACATCAGAAAGCACTCAGTGTATCATTAGCACCTTAAGCCTCCTTTGGAACAAGCCAAATTTCTCTGTTTATCAACTTAAAATAGGATCCTTCAAAAGCTTGACAACAGCAAAGGAAGAGCGGCACACCTGGCAGGCAGGCAGGGGCCAGGAAGGCGTTTTTGGGTTTTGATGCATGGAGCTTCCAGAAGTGGTTCACCAGCTGGGTAATAAACGTGCAGCCCTCTCCTTCCACGTGTTTCTGGACCTCTTGCCCTTCTTCACTCTCTGTACAGATTAAAAAACACGTGTCAGATATGTGCAGCGGAAAGCTTTAACGAAGGTATCATCAAGTTTATTTGAAATGGCTTTTGTTAGAGGCTCTGATGTCCTCATTACGAGGACTATCATACACCGAAGAAATGTGTCAAATACAGTCCCTGTCATAACCAAACCCAAAACCCTACGACAGCTTCAATTATGACAACGGTAAGTTAAAGAAAATTATAGACTTATCTACCTGTTTCCAGCTTTGATTCAGTGTAGTGGACCAGATTGCTGGGTCTCATAATAGCAATGGATCGAGCAGTGATGACCAGCCTCTGGAATACTTCAGGATCAAGGTCCTTTCCTTCTTTGGTTGAGGAAGTCAAATACTGAATGGCTTTGCTTAGCAGTGCTTGATCCTATAAAGTGAAAGATAACACGGGCAAAGAAAAACAACTGACTCAACAAAGCAGCTGAAGTACAAGCACAGGACAGATTCTGGGGAAGTTCGGCACTCGCTACTTTAACTCTTGTCATCTAAGGACAACTAATACTAAGAAATCATAGAGTTTTGGTGAAACACAAAAGCCAGCCAGGCAGGTAGCAGGAGTTAAAGGGAAATTAGCCAGCAGGTTTATAGTTTATACTGCATGGCGAAAGGGCTTTCCAGGGCCGTGCCGCACCTCAAGCATAAACGGACAAGTGAGAGGAGCCCCAAAATCCCTGCACCTCCTTACCTTGTGGTTATGGTAGGCTGAGCGACTGGTGTGCAAGCTGGCCAAGAGGCTCTTGGTTTGCTGCTGCACGCTGGAAGGAGCTGGCATGGACAGCAGCATCGTAGCCAGTTCCTGAGCTGCAATCTTATTCTTCTCCTAAGAACAGACAAAACCCATTATTCAGTATATTTATCATGAAGGTGATACATGAGTCTGATTCCCCAGTGTACCTGCAGCTCCCTCCCCTCCTTGCCAGTTTCTGCCTTCCTTCAATACTCTTTCGATAGCTTCCCTTAATTTACTGTTTGACATTTAACAGACATTTCACACATCGACAGAAGAAAAGTCCTTTTGAGATTTATGGGCTTCCTACCCTTCTGTTTTTGTAAACGAGGTCACCCTACAGCACAAAAAGCCCACCAGCGCTAAATGCAAATACCAATTGTCATTCTAAACTAGTTTCAAATGCTTTTGGCTAAGTCAACTTTCAGATCAGTGCTCTGAGCAAAACGGATGCAGCTCTGCTCCTATCGGGCCCCCGGGGCTGCAGGAGGTAAGTGCTGAGCTCGCCCCTCCTCCCCCAGCTCGCAAAGCTCAAGAGTGTATTCAGAAAGTTACTTGCCTTCTCGTTGACTGGTCCTACAGCAAAGCAGCTTTCCAGTGCTTCTAAAGAACTCACTACTAGCCTGAAGGGAGAAAGGAAAGCGGGCTTGAGTACAGCAACCCTTCTCTCTCCTTAGCACTTTGCTTTATGCAGGCTACAGTCATGAGTAGCTCAGAGACAGCTAACGAATGCCAAGTACAAAATCAAAGCATGATAAAACCTGCCACAGGCACCATGCATATCATTTCATTGTGTTACAGACCAGAGTTAAACCTGGCTCACGCTCACAGACAAACTTAGGACTGCTTTAATAATCCACAGCTGAAAGACAGGGGCTTTTCTCTCCCAAAGAGGATAAAACATTTCCTTACGCAGCCTGCAGCAGGGATAACTTGGATTGTCTTGACAGTCCCAATTCACCATGGCCCACAGACGTACAGATGACTGCAGATCAAGGCTGGCTATGACACATGGGAAAAAGCGGAACCGACTTTGCTAAGGGAGCAAGATTCTACTCGCTTGCTGTTTTCACACAGGTTGCTCTTTCTAATTTGGAGTTTCAGCACAAAATATTCCACAGGAAAATTAACTTGGAGTACTGGGTTTGACCCAAGTGAGAGATGCTGAGGTTCAAAGTTTGGATAGAAGGAATGCAGGCTGGTAAAACATTTGCCCCGAGGGAAAAGCTGATTTACAACTGGCAGCAAAGTGCTGAATGTCCCTGCAGCAGCACTCCGTGCCTCCAGGTAGAACTACCTGAAATGCCATCTGACACACCAGAAGGAGCAGGAAGATACAGGAAAAAGGAGGGAAGAGAGAGCATTAAGGGGAGAAATAGCACTGTAGGATTGGGTACGAGGTAGAGGGAACAACTGTCTGGTCTGGTGGTGATAAATAACAACCCCCTACCCACAGCCACCCTCCGGAAAGCTCTCAGGGAACATAAGTGGGATAAGAAGGCGCAAGGAAGGAACAAAGCAGAGAGAGGAGTCTGCTGTCAAACAAGCAACAGTTATGCTGCGTACAGCAAAAATCTGCAAACCACCTGATCTTTACATTGGCTAAACCATCTGCCATGCAAATGTCACTTAGAAAACAAAAAGAAAACCCCAGTCAACAAAAGCCACACCATGTGTTCTGTCTCTCTGACACACACGCACTCGTGCAGAGAAAAGGATGGATACTAACCGGTCCAGGGTGGTTAGGGACTCAGTGTCAGAACTTTGGGGGAGCAAAGAAAAAGGAAAAAAAAAATGTGTAAAGCTCACAGAAAAACTCCCTAGAACACATTCTAATCAAAAGGCAAATTAAATGGGGGGATCAGGAAGCCAGGAGAGCGCTCTGCACACTCAGTCTAAGCACAGCTCTCTCTACCTGGGCAGCACACACTGGGCTAAAGCCAAACAAAGAAAGGAGATCCAGGGCACCTGCACAGAGAAGCCAAGCATCACTTAAAGCACCACCCAAGCTTGAATTTAAATATAGACACCAAACTTCTGGTTTGGTGCCTGACAGAAAAGCTACCTCCTGACTGCCATTAGCTGTGTCCACTCAGGAGGCCCTTTAGAAGGTAACCATACTGCGTTCTGTAACACCAAATATTAAGAATATTTTTTTTGGATCTGAATTTTTAGACTATGATCCCCACTGCTCTGGAAAACGCATGTCTGTGTTGAGAGGGACATCTTGTGGGGATGTCACAGCAGAGGAGGGAAGTAAAGGGAAAATAACCAAGGGAAAAAACTCCCGTGAACTATTAGCCAAAATATTAAAAGATGGCTGAACAAGTCCTTCAGCTGGAGCTAACTGCCACTTCAAGCTCTGACCCTTTACCTGAGAATTTCAGTCAGAAAAAATTAACCACCATTTCCTCACAGTTGAGCAGCATATCCCTTTAAAATGCTCAGTTTTCAGCAGTGCTAGTTCCCCCTTGCTCTGTTTCCCTCCTGTCCTTGCTGCTTGCCAGGCTTTCTACAACTCTTATGCACAGACTGCACAAGCTCAGAGGAAGAACACGGGATGAATATAAAACAGAACACAAGTTTTATTTCTTGTACTAAATATATGTCCTGGTTGCCCCTGGGGTTTGGCTCTCAGTAGGGATATTGAGAAAAAACCCAACACTTTCTCCAGCACAACAGCTCAGTCTGAGACACATGGGCCACAAGACAAGTTGGTGGGAACCACAAGCCTAAAGCAGGGTCACACACAAAGCCCTCCTCAAAACTGAGCTTAACTTCAGAGGCCTGACTTTTGTGAGCTCCAGAGAATGAAAAGGGCCAGCTTGAAATGAAAGAATGTACCAAGGCAGTAGAAATCTCTTTTAGCTCCCCAAGGCTGCTGAAACAAATGAACTTGGCAACGCAAAGCAGGCACACAGATCTATGCATCTACTCCACCAGAGAAATCAAGAGTGAGCACAAACCCTCCTTACAAGATAATCCTTGACTTTTCAGTTGTTGCTTTGTAAGACAGTGAGAACAATTTTACTAATTCTCTTCAGTTCTCCCAGTTAAGCACACAAGTGCACCTAAGTCCCCTCCAGAGCAACCACGCATTTTCAAGGAGAAAGAAAGGAAAGACTGTGGAAATACCTCTCCAGGACAGTCCCACTGGCAGCAGCAGGGGCAGCTGACTCTGTGTCTCCAGTGCTATTCCCTTGATTCAGGTTTGGGGGACAAACATTGCTCACTGAAGCAGATGGGAAGTCCTCGGGGGGCTCATCAGGCCATCCAAACTGTTCTTTGGTTTTGCCATAAATTTTTATGGAATCCATCATGGTGACTCCAGCAGGATCCACAGAAGCCCCAACTGCAGTGATGAGAGAAATTTCTTAAGAACTAATAGAGCCATTGCTTTTGAATACAAACAAGCCTTCTCTCAATGCCAGGACAGCGATTACACTGTGTCATTAAAACATAGCCACTCACAGAGTCATCTCCTTTCCAAGGCCATTTTCCTTCTCTATTGCCTCAAAACAAAATTATCGAGCTGAGCTACCGAACATTCATTCACTGCAGCAAGAAACTGGGCCATAAATAAAGTTATTAAGTGTTCAGGGCTCACCCCTCAAACTGTTTTTGTAGTCAAGTCAAACAGGTTGTGGAAATTCCCTACTGTGAGGTGAAGCAGGATAGTTTCAACCCACCCAAACAAAACCATCAGTGAAGTCAAACTAAGCAATTAACAAAGACTTACTGAAGACGGTGAGTTTTTTGTCAGCCTGCAAGGCTTCCTCCCGGGTGAAGGGGAAGTCAAACCAACGGGCCCTGGTCATGTTGAGCTGCATGGTGCGGCCAAAGATCTCCAGGTAGGAGGGAGCTCGTTCTATGGCCTGGGTGCCGATCTGGATCCGCATGCCCGTCATCACCATTGTGCTGTTATTGTTTGTCACTTCGATGGTGAAACCCCCAGGCTGCAGAAGACAAATCACAGCTCAAAAATTCACTCTCAAGCCAAGAATCTGATTCTGTACAGAGGTGTCTCCACTGCTTCCTAATTACAGGATTTGTACAGGTTCATTTGAACAAAGCAGACTCCTAAGACACAGCATGCTGTCAATATGAGCAATGATATCACCCAAGAAGCCCAAAAGAATCCCCGAATCGCCCCACTTACCTTTGTGTTGGCCACGTACATGCCCGTGGAATTGAGGCGGTGCTTTATCTGCTGAGCATTGTACACCTGCAGCAGGTCATTGCCTCCAAACTCCACATCTGTGAGCTGCTGGTTGTGTTCAAAGAAGTCAATGGGGAAGTTCACTTGGCTGGATGTGCGAGTTGCTGGAAGGGAAAAGAGAGGGTCCTGATGAAATACATTCTAAACTGGCAGAAATGTGGTAAAAGAGCTGCAGAAGGAACCTGCCTCCTTCGCAGATGTCTGTACATATTTTTACGTATATTTACGGAAACATTTCACCCAGACTTAGCCAGTCCTTAGCCCTCGGGTTAACTGGTAATTGTCAGAAGTGAATGTTTTAAGTATCTGGATGATGCTGAGCAATCTTTGCACCTCCATTTGTTACAGCTTGTGTGAGGAGCCCCTTACTGATGGCAGCTGCCTTGCGCTTGCGGACGGGCTTCATGATGCTGATGACGCTGCTGGGCTGGAGCGAGGGCTGGAGCCAGTACGAGGTGTTCTCCACGTTGGCCATGTAGATCCTCAGGCTGCCATCCTCACACAGCAGGATCATGGTGGTCCTCTGCTGCTCGTTGCAGGCTGTGTGACGGATGGCCACCATGTCCTGGATCTGCAAAGCAAGGCAAGGACTTGGCAACTGCTGCTTGAAGGAAAACTCTTTGCATTAGAGATCTGGTTGATGGAACAACAAGAAAACACATTTTAAGGGCCAAAACCATAGGGAATTCTGCCTAACCTTTGCTTTGGCTGGCAAGGTTTTAATCTCTTGGATGAGGAAGGTGTCTGGCTTCACCATCACCACCAGCGGGACACCTGTGGTTTGCTGAACACAACACACCAAGCCAGGATGGTTCATCACCTCCGACCACTGACACAGGGCTGGAGAAGTCTTACTCCCACCATTAGAACTGCAAGAGATGAAGGGCACAGTGACATTAATTTAACAAGCAGCACAAGCGAAAACACACAAAATACAGCATTCAAACCAGTTAAAGCTCCATCCTCAGCAGGAATTCAAGCATTCCAATTCACAGCCTGATCCCTACCCTGCAAACCTGAGGAAGAACACTTGGCAACATTTTATGCCCCAAACCAAGGAGGCAATTCTAAAATGGCTTTCAGCAATGTTTTTATCTGAACAGATGAACAGTTACACATTACAACATACCCAGCAGCACTAAGCAAAGGCCAAACCAGCAGAATCTGTGTGACTGCTCACCGGAAAAAATAAAAATAGAGCTGCAAAAAGACTAAGTCAAACTTGACTGGGGCTTGGGAGCTCTTGGAACGAGCCTTCTACAGAGCCTGCTCATGACAGTGGTTTTGTGTCAGGCTAGTAAAGAGTCTGTGGTCTAAGTGCCCAGCTCTGTCAGAAAACATGACAGAACAGCTTTTTCTTGCCACATTCATAGCAAAAGAGATTGGTTTCCCTCAAGGGAGTCTGAAAATAAGCCTTAATATGCACAGTGCACAAGGTCCACAGCAGTACTGGTGGCAAAAGGAAACAAAGGTTTCCTGCTCTGCAGCCTCAGTGAGGGGGGGTAATCCCATCAGTTCCAGTGGCTGCACCAGGAGCAGCTCCACACTGTGCAGCACAATGGCTCTGCAGCCACCTTCCTGCTGGGAAATCCTAGTGGGAAGACAAAATGCAGACATGCCCCACTGCTGAAACACCGAGTTCTTGTTTCAAACCATCCCGTAACTAGAATATCCCAAGTTGGAAGGGACTCAAAAGCATCACCAAAGTCCATTAGGGCAGAAGCACCACGAAAAGTAGCAGGAAATCATCAGTCAGAAAGAGGATCTTCAGCACAAGCTTTGGCCATTCAGAGCTGGGATGTTGATGAGTGATATTTATTAATAATAAACAGAAATAAACACTTCAGGGGAGTCTTCCACATGAGCCTCACCTCTTGATGTTGATTGGGAATAGCCTCTGCACTTCCAGGCTGGCCCTGCTGATGGTGGCTGCAAAGGATTTGCCTTGACAGTAGCTGAAGAACAACATCTGCAGCACATGGGAGTAATACACTGACACCCCTCCTCCTGCCACCTGGCCATTGCTGTCCTGTGGGATCAAGAGAAATGACAACATTTAACATAAACTCACATACCGCAAAACACCGTCAGGCTTTTAAATTTATGATGGAATTATTCCCAAGGCCTCCTCTCCTCCCCACCAGCAAGAGAACACAGCACTAAACGACAATTTTCTAAACTGAACTGTTGGGTGAACTCATCCATCAGACACTTCAAAGGCTTTGGAAAGGGATGCTGAGCCTGCAAACCCGTAGGCTGTAGGTAACACCCTCAGCTGGGAGCCTGAACGCCATGTGACAGTCTCACACGGAGCACTCCCCTTGTTCCCAGCTCATAAAAGATCTTCCTGAGGGCTGTCTTCTCATCTTTTCCAGTTTTGAAACAGGCTGGGGTAAAAACACTGGACAGATTTTACAAGTCACCCCCAAGACCAGAAACAAAGGCTCACTGCAGCTCTGCAGCCCCAGCAGTGGTGATTTATCCATTCTGTTCCTGCACCTTTGGAGTGCCTCGCTCCGAGAACTGCACTGCTCTGCAGCCATCTCCCTGCTGAGAAATCCTGCCGGGCATGACTTCAGAGCCAGCCATGGAAAACATGCTCTATTTTCTAGATGAAAGGATCAAGGGGTTTAATTTTCACCCCCACCCCCTTTCACTGCAAGGATATTTCTCTCTTTAAAGGAATGAGCAAGCTCCTTGATCTAGATAAGGGGGCTCAAAGGAAGGAAAAAAGAAAAGGAAACTTCTGCCTTCAAATATAAGATGCAAAAAAACAGAGAGAAAGGGAAGTCACCAGCACCTTCAGGTCCTCGTGGTTGACTTCCAGCACATTGGTGACATAGAATGGTCCATGCTGGGCACTGCTGGCCTCCTCCATGAGCTGTGTATAGATGTACCCAGCTGAGGACATGATCACTATGATGTTCTTCCCTTCCTCGTTGAAAAGGAAAGTGACATCCCTGATTTTGGAACTTGGTAGGAGGAAGTAGAAAGTTGGACTCAAGGCGTCTACAGAGAGATCATAAATCTGTAGAAAGAACCAAGAAAATAATTACTATGACACAGAAGAATTAAGGCAATAATCAACTACCACAATACAAAACAAGACAAGAGCTGAGACAAGGGAATCCTTTTAGATGTTATAGTTAATTGTTCTACTCTTTGGATTCTTTAGTTTTGCTTTTTCTTGCAACAACAATAGCCAAATTTATATTTCCAATTTATTTCTAACTAAGAATATTATCACATTCTTCCACATGCAACTCCACAAGGATCCAGGCTCTGATGTATGAAAGTAAGATATATCATCAACAGCTTATGAGCAGACATACCTTCACAAAGTCTGCAGTCACAATGGCAAGCTCTGTTTGAGATCCTGGCAGCCACACAGCTTTGATGATGAAATTCCCAGTGGCTAGTTGGGGATGAAGTACCAAATGATCAGAGACTGATCCAGAGCTGCTGAATGTTAATACATGGCAGTCCTGGAGTAATGAAAAAAATTGGTCAAATATTAGAACTAAGCATTTTATAAACATTTGAAGCCAAGAATGGCGTTAAAAGTCAGCATTTCTCTTATGCCAATAATGATTCAGAGAGCGAGAATCTAAAATTACTGCATTAAAGATAAATTACGTGATCGTTTGTAAAGAAAACACAAAACCAAAACCACAGAGTGCAGCTGTTTCTCAGCTAAATAACAAATCTGTGGATTCTGCACTGGGAAAGCTGAATCTAAATTTGGGAGAATACAAAGAGGAGTCCTTGCCAAAGAACACTGGTTGTTACAGACTAGTTTTAGCACACTAAGTCTGACATGACTAAACCTTGGCTCTTGTCTTACGTAAAACTGGCCTAAATACAATAAGAAGTACTATATTTCAAGGCACTGTCTCATTTATCATATTATTCATACAGCTCTTGCTTCTTCTGCTTCCTCTGTCGAATAGGAAAGTGATTCAGGAGCTAAATTAGTGACAGAACTTTGGAGGCAGCTCTGTGCCAGCTCCTCAGAGAAAAGAAAGACAGCTGGCTTTGAGCTGATGTTTCCAGCTGCCTGGGAAAGGGTTCGGGAGGCACTTACTTTCAGTCCACACACAGCCAGATAGTCCTCCTTGCAGGGATTCCCAGTGAGGCTCAGGACAGTGAAGGGAACGGGGGCGGACGCCAGGCGGGTGAGGGTCAGTTTTCTTTTGCTGGAGTCAGCTTGTTTCAGCAATGCTGAGAGCTGAAGGACTGTGATCTGCACCACAAAATGAACTGTTATCCAGTTATAACTGAGGGGAATAAGGCACTTCAATTCCAGCTCTATGAATGTGTCCCCACATTTACAGAATCAGAATCACAGAATCAAGGCTGCAAGAGACCTTCAAAATCATCGAGTCCAACTGCCACCCCAGCACCACCCTGATCACTCCCAAACCACATCACCAAGTGCCATATCCAGACACCTCCTGAACACTTCCAGAGACAGTGACTCCACTACCTCCTTGGGGAACTTATTCCAATGCCTGACCACTCTTGCAGAGACTTTTTTTTTCTAGTATCTAATTTGAACCTCCCCTTGGCACAGCTTAAGGCCTTTCTCCTCTCATCCTTTCACTTAAGACATGGCAGAAAAGATGAGCCCCCACCTCATTTCAGTCTCCTTCTAGGTAGTTGTAGTGAGTTGTTCTCACTGTTCTCACTGCAAGAACTCTTTTCCCTGAAGAGTTTTTTCTAAGAGAGGCTTCCCTAAGCTGCAATACGACACAGAAGATCCAGTTCTCCAGAGAGGCAGAACAAATCACATTCTGCCTGTTGTTCAGCGCTGTTCCATTTTCCCTCAGAATGCAGGGTTCCCTGCAGAGCTGGAGAGCTCACCTTGCCCTTCTCGTGGCTCACAGCCAGGTGCTGGCGCCGGCCGTGCGGGGAGGACAGCACACACATGGCCACGCGCCGCAGCACGTGGGCGCTGATCAGCTGCCGGATCGTCTGGCCCTGGTCCCCGCTGTAGTTCATGCGCACGTTCTCAAAAGCACCTTCTTGAGAGCCGAGAGTTGGCACCTGAGTCAGTAAAAGCATCCAAAGTAAACCACTTGGAATTGCCCTATAAAAAGTGACCGTCCTCCCCCCATAATCTAATCACTCCTTTAGTCTCACCATCAACTGGTCTGTCATTTCTACTGACTTGTCCAAAGTATGGAGCTCGTTGAGAGCTTGCTGGGCACGGCTGCTGCTCCCCATGGCTGAAGCTTGCTGGAAGTTGATCTGGATGGCATCCATCAGGAAATTCAGCATCTCTAGCACCAAAGGTGCAAAGGAGAAGTTGGCCTACAAGAAAGAGATAAGTGAGGAACAAAATGCTCCTATGGGAGCCTTCATAACAGCTACACATCAACCACTTTTTAAAGCCTGACACCCTTTTTATGACTCCTCTTATCATAAAAATCAAACAACTTGGCTGATAACCAACACATTCTGCCTAAGATCCTCACCATAAATGATCTTTGTTTAACAGATAATCATACCTGGGACTGCAGCTCCTCTCGACAGCCCTCAACGTTTCTGCACAGGCTGCTCTTCTTGGGTTTTTCTTCGTCAGGGCCCTTCCCCTCACTGATGGTGACCTTGGCTTTCTCAGCAGGGGAGGTGCTGGCATGGCGAATGACACTCTCAGGCACCCTGGGCTCACTCTGGAAGGCGGATTCTTTCATGGTAGAGCTCATCCCACTGCTGGGGGTTCTCTTCACCAAAGCCTGGGAATGACACAGGAATGCTAAGAGCCTAAACCAGACTCAGTTTGACTACTAATGAAATGAATACAGACTGTAATAGTAGCAAGATTAATGTAATTTTAAAGAAATAGAGTGCAAATCTCTTAAGACTGCAATTCTAAAGATACAACAAAACAGCATCCTACATGTCACTCTCCACTCAAGTATTAAAAAGCCTCCATAATTAAGATATAGTTATTTTGTTTGCTGCTAGTGGAAAACATGGGAAAAGGTGTTGTTTGCTGTGTAGCGAATTCTGTAAAGGTAGGTGGAATCCCAGGAGTCACTGGGACAGAGATTTGCCAGTGCTCTTATTCAGTGCAAAAACATTAATTTCCAGGCAAGCTGTAAATTCTGAAGGGTCATTATAAAACAAATACCTTCAAGTCTTATGACTCTTACACACTCATACCCTGACATAACTTATTGCAGAACAGAAAACTGCAAAAGACTTTAAAAGCTGAGGACATGAAAACACTTTACCAGGCAGCTGCCATCTTCCTTGGCTCCACAGTCACAGAAGAACGACCCATATTTGGCGTAAGAAATCTCATGATCCTTGTGACAAACTTTAGCACAAACTGTGCAAACACCAACCCCATCAACCATCTTGCAAGTGTGACAGTGGTACCTGCCCAAAATAAGCCAGGTGAGTTATGAAAGACACTGCTTGAGGCTCACAAACCACACTGGTTTCCTTCTCAATGGCCAGGAATATCAGGCTGAAATTCTGAACACAAATTTCAGATCCTTACCAATGTTGATTCATGAATTCTTTCTGTGTGATGGTGAAGGTACAGAGTTTATTACAGAGAGAATCTTCATCCTATAGAGAAGAAAATTGTTTCAAAAAGGCGCTGCAACTGCAGCTACAGTAAAGTACATGGTACAGAATAAATTCCTCAGACACCAAATGTGCATTTTAAGAATAGCAACACTGAGCTAAGAGAAGGCAGCTGGTATCAAACCACATGAAAAAGAGGGTGACATATTATAATAACATGAAAGGGTTAACAAGAAAAAGAAACAGTAACAAAAATGTTGGTACAACAAAATTAAAACAATGCATTATAACAGCTTTTCTTCCCTAGCCAACAGCACTTCAAAGTCTTATCTAAGCTGCTTGTTGACATATATATAAAACTGACAAACCAACCAGTAGGAAGAAACCCATCTCACTCCATTTCTTCCTTTTTCTAATAAAAAATAAATATTTAACTTTAGTTGACATGGCAAAGTCAACGGATCTAGGCATGAATTACAGATATTCTCTTCCAGTCCTGTCAAGTAGGTCACATTAGGAATAAACAACAAACTCTTAGTTCATAACCTGAGTAATTCTGATTTGGAAGCAAAATAAACCTTCATCTCCTTTGCAGCACTAACTGTGAGCGTTGCCTACCGAATCCTCAGCCTGGGAGTCCTCCTCCTCCACTGCCAACTCTTCCACCCAGTCAGAGTCCACCTCGATGGCCCGCTCCTCCCCATCCACGGACAGGTGACTGGGCCCCTGGCCACTGCTCTGGCTCAGGGCGTTGGTGACGTCGGCCAGGTAAGAGACGATGTGGCAGGTGCACTCCAGGATAGTCACGTGCTGGAAAGCACAAAAGGACAGGCACTGCTCACATCCCATAATAGCGGCTACGGGGCAAGAAAATTGAACAAGTGCCCCTGACCAAATTGCTTTAACTCCCACTATGAACCCAACAGGACGGGTGAACAGCTCCTGCCTGGGATTTATTCCTGCAAATTAAACGATGGTCATGTCTTACCTTCCCTTGCATGACATTGGCATTCATTTTTTCTACCACATTCTTTTGAGACAGGTATTTCTTGCTGTAACAAAAAACAGTGGAAATTATTATAGAATCACAGAATCCCAGAGTGGTTTGGGGTGGAAGGAACCTTAAAGCTCATCTCATTCCACCCCTGCCATGGGCAAGGACACCTTCCACTATCCCAGGTTGTTCCAAGCCCCATCCAACCCGGCCTTGGACACTTCCAGGAATGGGGAGTCCACAACCTCTCATTACAGGTAACAGTTGTTGGGAAGTATAAACTCAGTCCTGACCAACAGTTTCAAGCATTCAATTTGCTTTAGGTTAACAGCAGGGAATGTATAAATGCAGTAATTAAACCATCCAGAGTGGAAAAGAAAGACAACACATGGTTGTTCTTAATGGGAGGGGATACAGATCAGACACTTTATATTCCAAACAACTAACTAAAAAATAACTGAATATCAGCATACACGAACTTCTGTCCCCATATCACCAGTCAAAAAATTTAACAAAATCAGTCTAAGTGGTGCAAATAAACAAAGAACAGTATCCCGTTTACTCTTACCATCTGCTCAGCCAATCCACAGCAGCACCATGAAGCTGGAGGTGTCCTGCACCTTGTCCTGCACTGGCCAAAGTTGCCATCACGACCATCAGTTCAGGAAAGCCTGTGCCATCACCATTGGCCAACATCTCTGTTGCCATTGGTATCAGAGTACTCAGCAGAACAGTGCACACACCTTCTCCCACTTGGCTGAGCAAAAACAAGAGAGTTTCAGAGAGGTACTATAAAGACACCACCAGCAACTCACACCTCTGGAGGAGGAAGGAAACGACCAGCACACAAAAGGCTGTGCTTTACCTGTTTTCCCGAACGATGTAAGTTGTCAGGAGCTGCAGGAGCTGCCTGTTCTCCTGCACAATGTCCAGCTGGTCTGAGTCTTTGGGTGGGGACATGGTCATCCGGGTCAGCCAGGCCTGGAGCCGGACAGGCTCCACACAGGCCAGCTGAGCCAAAGAGCCACAGAGTCGCAGCAGGCTGGGGTTGGGGCTCTTCTCAGCTGGGGGGGAAGTTACTGTGAGTGACAGATCTACAGTGAACGTGTGGCTTTTCATTACAAGTGTGAAGCTGTGACCCCACTCCCTCCCACAGCTTTCCTTTCAAGCATCTTCATGTCTCAGCCTAATACAAGAACAGTATAAAGCGGACAAAGGCGGGACAGGAGAGATCCAACCATCACTTACTCAGCTGGAAGAGCTTGGTGAAGAATTTCAGCACCCTGTTACAGAATTTGGCTGAGAGGTTCTCATTGGCTGTTGCCATCATGATCTGCACCAGTTCTCCACTATATAGAGGGGGAAAATAAATCAGCTTTGTAAAAGATGACCCATTCCCTTTTATCACTTGCTTCACTTCTCTCTGCCCTCACGTTTCAGACTGGCAACAGTTTGTATTAATATTGCTCAGCAGCCAATTGCTGAAATTGCTTTCAGCCAAACAGCAAACTCAGACTAAAACTCATGAATCTCATGGGCTCCTCAGCAGCATTTCAGTATCTTGCATATCAGGTCACAAAAGGGCCTAAACTCGTTTCCAAACCAAAAGGCAAGATTTTCTTGCCTATTTTTCCCTTCCATCTTTACAAAGTATAGCCACCATACTGCTTCCATTTTGAACTGTTGAACAAGTAGAGAGAAAAAACAGACAATGGTTTGCTTAACAGAGAAAACCTTTCCTCTGAATATGAGTTCACCCTCATATTCAGAACACTCTTGTTGTGCTGTGCTGCTTCCAGCACAGTTTGTCTTCATAATCTTAAGTCAGGCCAACACCCCACTCATACTCTTAAAATTACCAACCTGCTACCCCAAGGAAGCACTGGGAGAACTTGGGATTTTGCAGCTTGGTCTGTAAATTCCTTATGGACCAGCATCTCTCAAAAAACTCCTTTGACAGATCATCTTGCACTAATGATCACTATAGGGACTCACTATTTCCTTTGGAGTGACAAAGACCCGGGTCCTCCGCCTGCCCCCGCCCCAAGTTTTTTCCCACTCTCCTGCACTCCTCAAAGGAGATCCTGTCTTTACACAGCCCATATTTTCCTGCACAATGACATCAACATCACTTCAGAGTCTACAGTGACAAGCAAACAGAAAAAGGATGAGAAATAGAGTTCTTGGGCTACAACTCTCATAGTGACTTCACCTTTCTGAAAAGAATTCCTCCATGGCTTTTCGGGCCTGGCTGCTCTCCAGCTGCTTCTCCAGATGCTGCAAACATTCCTCCAAGATGGACTCATCCAGACCACTAAGGATTAAAAGAGGAATATATAAGGATCAAATACATGAGGGTCAAATAAGAATATATAGGAGCCATTTCAACAATTACAACAGCTCTGAGAGTCAAGAAGTGATCTATTTTGCTAATACAATTCCAAAACCTTTCCACCAATTGAAAACAGCTCTTCATGAGACAGGAGAAAAACAACCGATGAACGCCAGACAGAAACACCAACAAACCCAACAAATGTTCAGCAAAAAAGCATCACATGATGCTGTAAGGCAAGTTACAGTTAGAAACCCAGAATAATCCAGACCTTTCTGACACCTCAAATTCCTATAAACAGCTGCTGTTTGTACACTTTAAGTCTATTTTAGTGTTACTCCTCCCCATTCTCCCCTATGCTTATCCTCACTCCACAAATACTCTGCAAGTAAAATCCCATCACATTTATGCTCTGTACCAGGTCAGTAGATCTCCCTCTGACCTCCCATCCAGAGAGGATCAGTGTTAAAAAAGATGCAACATCATCATGTCTAAAGGTTTTATGTTTCAGATGGCTAGAATCAATATCTGCACAGGAAGCTCATTCCCTCTGTACAAAGAGGAAGGGGTGGGAAGCCCAAATCTGGGTAGTTAGCTGTGAGAAAGCAGGGATTAGCCATCCTTACACACAGCAAGAAAAAGGGAACATAACGTGAGTTAGGTTGGCATCTTCACTTTTGATTTCGTGCTTGTATTTACAGAATTTTCTATCTTTTTAAATAAAAAACCATCCAGATACACACATGCTTCATCCAGAGTTACAGGAGATGATGAAAATCCACCCTGCCTCAATGGTTCCTGGTAACATGAATAAAATATCTTGTATTTTTAGTCCGCAAGTATAAAAGTCTTCCACAGATAAAAATAAACTGATTTTCTGCCTTTCTGTTGTGCTCAGCACCAGCGCTGCTGTTTAAATCCGCTGCAGCCAATCTTTGTACACAGTTTTGGGGGAGAAGGACAAGCCCAGCCTGTTACCTGTTTGGATCAGAGTGATTGGCCAGGATGTTGTAGCATCCTGTGATCAACTTCTCATAAACACGTGCCAGGAATTCATCTGACTCTGCAGGGCCCAAGATCCTCTCCAGGGAGTTGCTGCTGATTTCTGCCACACTCTCTGTGCTGGTCTCCAGAAGGAGGGGCAGTAGGGAATGAATTACTTGAGGTGGGTTCAGATCATCTGACCAGCTTGAAAACAAAAGCAAACAAGTTAATTCTCTGCATGATCTATTAGAGAACATCCCTATTGGAAATCAGAAGTCACACAAGTGAGGCACAAATCTGGATGGAAATCAGTGATAAAACTTTTTTTAGAAAGCTGGGACAAATACACTGACACAGCCTCAGAAAAACAGTCCTCACTTAGAAAACTCTGCATGTTAACTTTTGCATATACACAGTCACAACATTTTCCTAGACAGACTACACTCTCACACAGTGTGGCTTTTGGGTTTGTCTGCAGTGTCAACAACTACTTCTTGATTTCAGTGTATTTTAAAGTAAGTCCCTGGAAAAAGAAATGCATTTCATTCTCTCTTTATGCTTTTAAAACATCACAAAAATGAATTATAACAAAGAACAAATCAATTAATTAGATCTATATTGTCTCAGTTTATATTCCAGTTTCTTCAAGTCCGTATTTGACAAAAAAAGAAATAAGGGTTTCTCTGAGGGGGTTGGACTTTTGAAGAGATGAGATGACTGCCTTTATTCACGTAGAATTTAGAACTGCAAACTGAAAGGCCTAGTTCAAAATACAGCACCAGGTCAGTGAGTTCCACCCACAGAGCCTGATGAAGTCAGCCATTGAGGACAGCAGACAGACCCACAGTGTCTGTAACATATAACGTATGGAAAATCCATCACTTACACAATGAGATCCCCGGTGAGCCTGACCAGGGACAGCAGGGTGTGCTTCAGGGAAGCTGCCAGAGGCAGGGTTTGGCTGCAGAGGGTGCCCAGGTGGGCAGCCTGGACAGCACTGATGTAGCTTTCCGCAGGGATCGTGTCATTGGCAAAGGCATTGCGCTGGGGAGGGACACACACACATCAGAACCACCCACCTCCAACACAGTGACACCCCACCAACCATGCCCAGAGAGTTAAGGGCACACCAGATCAATCCTCCAGGCTGGACTCACCCATGAGCCAATGTTTGGAAACTCGTTGGTGTGAATGTTGTTCCATGACTCACACAGAGTCTGCACAGCTGAAGGCAAGTTCTGAACAAGTGCTGGCCCTGCAGGTAACACAGAATCATCAGGATCTAAGTAATTTCACAGGTCCTGTTGAAACCCAGAATGCTTTTACAATACTCTTTAAATTAGATCATTATTTAAGACACAATTGTAGCCAAACTGAGCTGTAATTCTGTTGAGGGCTAGTTTCAAGCTTTTCTACAAGTCAAAATTATCCCTACATTTGCAAGAGTTTCTCTGCTTCTTTCACTTTACTAAAACAATAGAAAACAGGGCAAAAATACCAATTCACAGCAGTCTTCAACACAGCAACATTTCATAATTCCCCTTATTATTCCATGCCACCAGCTCCGATACGGTTATAAAAGCATTTCAACAATCCGGACAAGCCCACAAGACAGTTACCCTTTCAAGCTTTGCCCAGCTTTTTGAGTTTTTAGGATACCAAAAGGAGACTTCCAGTGTGCTGCTGGCAGGATAACTCCCTCATTTGAACAGAGTGGTGAAGAACACATGAGCCAGCACAGAGCTTTGAAATGGAATGTTGGCAGCATTGTAGAAAGCTTCACCTTTACAGAGAAGGCACAGTGAGCTCTCCAGTACCCTCACCTAGAGTGTTGGACTTGCAGCGGCTGGACCCGATGGCCAGGACAGCAGCGTAACCCTGGAGCTTCTCCTCAGAGGGTTTGTTGTCCGTGGAGCCCTCTTCAGACAGGCTCCGGAGCAAGTAAGATCTGCGTTCAGGATGGAAAGGATTTACTTCAGGAATCAGCTCTGCATTTCTGAACTACATCTGTCAATACAGGGACAGATAAACAGCAAACTTTTGAAGCTCTGCCCCATACTTCATCTCATACCACGAAGGGAGTTGTGGGCTTTTATCCCCTCCAAGCTACTTATGAGGAGAAGTGCCCATTCCAAAGAAAAAGCTGATTTACTTTTGCTTTCTTCTACACAGGTTTCTAACAAGAGTTTACAAGACTTCAGACTCTTAATGTAAGAATTAACCCCCCTCTCCTTCTTGATGGTCTGACAGCCTCAATATTATTCCAGAGAAATAACCTTAAGCAGCACTATCCTACAGAGTGGTTTTATCTTTCGAGGAAAAGCTGTTTTTGCAAATTTGCAAGGAAGCCTTGGAAGATCAGACAAGGTGGTTACTTAGATACAACAACTTCCATACATGGCTTGAAAAGCTACTTTTTATTCTTCTTTTAAAACAATGGACATTCTAGAGGACATAAAGTAATTACACTGGACTATAAAAAAACTCAGGCACCTCTAAGAAGACAACACACAAAATGCAAAGAAAGCAAAATGCACTGCAGGGAATTGCATTCCTCCTGGAGATCCCAAGGACTGTACCTGGTAAACGTAGCATAGGTGTCAATGAGCTGCAGAGTAGCAGGAAGGAGGTTCTTGGTTATCTCTGAGGATTTGTGGGGATCAGTTTCCGCAGCTAACTTGGAAAAGTGCTCATCTAGAGAAACCTGAATCTTGGAAATTGCAGCATCAAGGGTGTAAATGGACTGTAAACTGGGAACTTCGTGCAGCTGGAGAATAGTTGTGCAGTCAACAGCACAGAAAGAAGATATCTGCAAATACAATGGGAAGCACCAGTAAGTGCGAATCATTCCACAAAAACAAGTTCCATGTGCATGGATGCATTCCCACCATCTCACCTGTCGAGCAAAGTACTCCTCAGCTATTTCCACGTCGTACTTCACTGAGATGCACTTACTGGAGGTCAGTTCGACGAGAGGAGCAGCATGTTCAGCTTTCATGCCCTGCCTGACAAGGTGATCCTAGAGATGGCAAAAAGCAGACCCATCGCACTTTAATAGTGCTCTACAGTTAAGCACTCTGCCAATCACCAGGCTGGAACACTTTGGAAAATACAGGCACAACTTTCCATTTCTCCCCACCATGCCCACAGAACAAATCCTATGGAAGAGACAGACATTCTTACTATCAACATCTCAAAAATAGCCCAGTCAAGGCTGTACCTTGATCCATGTGACATAAGAAGGGATTTGCAGGCGGGAAGACCAGCGCAGTGTGTGCAGGAGGTCACAGTCGCTCATCTCAGGCGTGTTCATGGCCAAGTGGTGCATGTAGCTTTTGGAGGGAGGCAAAATCCCCAGTATCCGCCACAGGATCAAGAAGTAGTACTGAAGGGCACAGGCTTCCTAAAGAGAGGAACAGTAGGATAAATTAGTAAAGAAAGATACAGTCTCGATCATTATAGCTACTGAAATATCTCATCAGGGACTCCAGACTCCTGCAGATGTACCAAATCAGATGAACACATTCTGGACTGAGTTTCTGTCATATTACACAACAAAATATGCAACAGAGGAGTGAGAAAAGAAAAAGGAAAAATTATACAATTTTCTCCTGCTTAATCATGTTCTAACCAGAACTACTGGAATTACCAGGGACTTACAGCAAGTCTGAAACATATTATGAATAACAAACTTGAGAGATGTGCAGCCACCATAAACACTACAGTTAGTTGGGGCCTTTGTAAATTCCCCGTTACTCCAACCACTGCCCAAACCACTTGGGTTAAATACTTTGCTTAAAAATCCTAATTTTGAAAACTTGTTATTCCTCAACACAGGCAGCAAGACAGTCTTACCAGTGCTGTGACAGTTTTGTTCTCCCTCCTCCTGAGCGTATCAAACTGGGACCCAGCTGCAAGCAATGAAGTCAGGGCTGCATAAAGCTCATCGTACTTCGTAGCCCTGGAGAAAAGGACCTCACAAACCTGCAGAAGTCAGACAAGTCAGGACTGACGTTTTGCAAAGCATATATACAGCCAAGCTCTTACTCTTTTAAGTATTCAGAATACCCACAGCCTAAAACTAAGCAAAATAAACCTTCGGGAAGTGAGTTCTGCCAGGTATTTCTCTCCTCAGTCGGATAATCAATGAACTGGTGATAAGGGAGCCTGCATGGGAGCAAGTCCACAACCCTGATGGCAACAAATGTAGAGAGGAAACATAACCCAGGAAGAACATGGAGCAAAGTGATGAGAAACAACTCTAATGCCACGTCTTCGTCTCAGGTGTTTCAGCAACACTGAAAAGCAAGTGTGGATAGGGCAGGTCTCTCTGTTCCAGCACTGAATCCCAAGCATTCCTACAAAGTAGTCCAGCACATCTTCACAAACTTTGCATGCTGAATTCCCTGACATGCAACTAGGTGTAAAAGGGAATCCCATATTATCTTATCCAACCACTCTTTTTCTCTCCACTTAGTGAAAAATTTCTGGTCTCTCTGTTTAATCAAGTCTTTCCTTCTTGTCTGTTTTCCCTGGCACTTGTCAAATCCACGTGGCCTTGTGGAGACTTACAGGAAGGTCTCTAAACCACAGTGCCCATACCGTGCTGTCCAGACGGTTCAGATCATCCTCAGAAGCTTCTAGAGACAGGATGCAGTAGAACCTGGGCTGTGGAACTGAGTCTGGAATGTGAGAACAGAAAATAACCTTCCAAGTGACAGTTTAATTAGGCAGCACGGTGTTATACTCTTTCCCCCATCCCTAACCTTTCACATTTAATACTACTACCAAATACTAAACCAGCTTCATAACACATTGAATGTGCTCTAACCTGTGGTATACACAGCCAAAGTTTTCCTACTCCTACAATCCTGGCACAATAAATACAAATATATTTTGAATTACTTGTACCATACTCCTAGATGACAGTAATTTTATTTAATAAAACTTTTCCTGTGTTATTAGATGCATTTTTGTCTATTGTAACTATGCCCATTAAAAGCAGGAAAAGCTGCCCAGACCAGGGTACAGGAAGGGCTCACATTTAATTTCAAAAGTAAATCCTGGAATAAAAAGTTCCTTTAATTTTCTTTCTTACCTGAAGAACAGTGTTTGGTCCAGTTTTCTTCCACTTCTTTAAAGCCATGATAAAGTGGGACAGACGTTCGTCTGCCACTGTCCTGGGATCCACTCCCCCAGCCAATGGGTGGAGTCAGCAAATTATACTGTACCTAAGTTACAAAATGAACAAACAAAAAACCACCCGTGGCATCCTTGTCATTGAGGGGTAGGGGGACAATACCACCCCCCAGAAAAAGAACCATAGAATAGAAACAACCCTGCTTAAAGCAGAACATTGCACACTTCTGAGGAAAGCCCTGGACCCTCTCTGATGCTTTTTAATATGAAGGGAGCAGTTTAAATCAAAGGCCAAACTTCCCACAATTGGAAAAGCCAGGCACAAAGCACCAGCATCCCACTAATGAGAAAACCAGAAATCCAAAAAACCTCAGTGGTGAAACACTAAAGCAAAGAAAAGGTAGCTGTGAAATGATGCCTAAATACCCAAACACTCAAGATTTTAAAGATAAGGTGGAACAATCATCCTGTCCTGATCAGGAATTAGGATACTAATTAGACCAGGAATTTTCACTCCAAATGAAGCCAGTGCTAGGAATCAGCAGTGATAGTTAATCATGCCTTGTAACTCCAAAGGCTGGTAATAACATCAAAACTGATTTACTCACAAAGGTCATGAAGAGACCAGAACACACCAAATGATTGCCCGTTACACATTTCTGCTGGGTGACCAATTAAATATCCAGAACATGATGTCAAAGCCTAACCTGTTCAAACAGGTACATGGGAGCTTTGGAATACTGATGGAGCAGGTAGTCAAACACCAAGAGCAGCCGTGCCACGATGAGTGGCACAGAACACTGCTGGGTCTCCATGTTTGCTGTCAACTCCACAATTGTCTGGATACAGAGCATCATGATGGACCTGCGGCCCCTCTCTGAGAAATTGTGGAAAATAAGCAGCAGCAGCTGGAGATGTTCCACATTCAGATCTTCTGTGTCACTGGGGACAGTCCCCTGCAAGGCATTTTGCTTCAGGGTGCCCACAAACCTGGCAACAGAAGAGGAAATTTATAAAGTTTACTTTTCCCCCTGCTTAAATCTCTATTTAAAATCTCTTTAACTAGAGGTTAGAGAAACATTTTCATAATTGCATTTTTCTGCTTAAATACTGGTAATTTCACTAACTGTTCACTACATTGCCTATTGGAATGAGATTACACAAACACTAAAACCTACAAATTAAATTAGCAGCAAAATCATTTCATGGAAAATTAGAACAATCATTCAAAGGGAGAAAGAAGAATTCAAACCTGTTCCCATGGGAAAGGCTGGCTACTAGAGCTTTAAGAAAGCTAAACCCTATCAGAGACTTTCACATCCAGGTAACGGCAGAGAGGAACAATCCTGGCACCATCCTAACAGAACCTACTAGAAATCTGCTGAAATAAAGACATTCTCCTTCCCTTTTTAAAATCAGCATTGCTGTAATTCAGCCTCCTCCCACTTAATTCCTGATTTTAGGTCTCATTTCCTACGTTCTGGATGAAGGACTCCAGCAACATGGCAGAATGATCCTCTGCTCCTCCAAGCATCACACAGATCACAGCTCAGAGAACACACGCGCACTTGTTACGCCGGGCCCAGAGAGCTTTCACTTGATGGGAAATGAGAGAGGTTAAGAGATTATTGATTTTCAGCTTCACATAAAACTATCTCACCTTTCCCAGACTTTAAGGCATTCTGGAACATCAGGATCTCCCTGGGCAGTGGCTTTATGCTGCCAAATCAAGAGAAGTCGCGAGAGCACCGACAAACTTTGAGGGTGGATGTAGAGAGGCCACGGACCTTCAGAAAAAGGGGCAACTCCCAGCTGCTGAAGAAGTGTGTTCTGGAACAAAACAGGGGCTCATTGGAAAGGACCAAGTCCTGTCTGATGGTTTAATTAATTAAAAGTATGATCTGAACATAGAGATGATAATAATCAGCAGGGCTCTCAGCTCATAAGGGCTCCCACAGCAATAACTCTCCTATCTCAAATAGCTACTGAGGGACACTTAACGCTGTCCCTCTGCCACCTAAAACACAACAAAGTCTCAACACCAATACAGAAAAAAAAAGGCATTAATGAGCTCTACTCATTTACTGCAATATCACAGCCAGAGAGATTATGTTCAGCGTCTATGAATTTGGAAGAAGACCCCTTTGACTGATTACAGCAATACTTGTTTCTTTTTAAATACAGGAAAAAGGCAGATTGCTGAAAAGTCCAACTGCTTTAAAAAAACTCAAACAACAGAGTGTTTTAAATACAGTAGAAAACAGTCAGCAAAGTATAGGGATTTAATTCAGTGATGGGTAAGCAGGTTTGTAACCTATCCTTACAGGGTTAAGTCAGGTCAGCCCATCACCCAGCAAAGAAACCTAAAGGCTACGAAGTTAGTTTGTATGGCCAGTCTTTGCGAGCGAAGATTTGGGAAAGGTCATTAACCCTTCGAGCCTGCGCAGTGGATTTCTTAGGTGAGACACAGTGTGTGCTGAACTGAGCCCACCCTTTAATCCTGAGGTTCATCTGCCGGGGCCGAGCGAGCTTGGACAGTGGCAGCGAGGTCCTCTGGACGTAGGTTTGTTTAGAGTGACCTTCTCTTAGATGGATTGCCTTACAGGGTTGACGAGTTCCATCCATGGAAGCAAAAGGATTAATTTGATTCTCTCCTGAGAGAATTCCAAGGCTTTTTGGCATCAGTCCTGACAGCAAAGCAAATCTGCAGGAATGTCTCTTGATAAACTCATGGATAGAGGCAACTTTCGAAAACACAGACTCATTTCCTTCTCAGCTTTCATCACCTTCAAAGTTCAGTAGATTAGTTTGAACTCTAGATGTTAAGTTTACACTGTACAGGATGTTTTGTACTGGATGACTGCAAAGGTCATTCAAATCACTGGATTCAAAATATTCCAGCCTCTGTTTGCAAATTAGCCTCAGAGCCAAATGTAATCACCAAGATACTACTCTAGGTGTGGAGAATCCACATAGGGACCTTAACAGACACCATCACTTCTTCATTTTATTTACACATTCAATCCCAGATTACCTGCAGGGCAGGGGACTGAAGATCTGAGGTCACCAGGGAATGGTTGAAGTGATAGAGCGCAGCAGCAAACTCCTCATCTGACGTGCCTGTAAGACAGGGATCGAGTGCCCTTTACTACCTTTGCTCTCCTACATTTAAAATTTTGACATGAAACTAAGAAAACACACACTTCTAAATCCTCCAGCTCTATCGGAGTTCTATTCACTTACCCTTAAGCCCATCCTTGTCCACCTCCTTGATGATGCTGGCCAGTGTTGCCATGTGCTGCTCCGACAGAGATACACTCAGGTAGTTGCGAATGAAGTTATTCCTGGAGTTCAGCATTGAAGAAGTGATAAAGTTCAAAATGTTTGAAGCTAGGCTCAAAAACTGCAAAGAAAAGAGAAACACACTATAGAAGCAAAAAAAGCAGAGAGACAACATTAAATAAAAACCAAACCACCAGCAAAATAAATCAAGTCCCTTAATTACCCCCCAGAAGTGGAGGACAGGTGAACTCATGGCAATCCAGCTCACTGGACTGTGGACTGTACCAGGACTGATTCTAGAACTCTCTCAGAAGGTAGAAGGGCTCCAACTTCTCCCCTGCAGTATTTATTTTTGTCTTTACCCAACAGAGTTAGAGCTAAAAGCATTCTATTAGCAAGTCGTTTCGCTCATAGTTCTGCCCCCATTTTCCCTCTCCCTCTGTAACCCAAATAGATACTATCTGCAGTCTCTGCTTCCCTGGCAGCAACAAATCCTGTGACATTCCACTTGACAGGAGACTACAGAAAACATCTTTCCTCAAAGTCAAGACACTTGTGATTCTCCATCAGCAATGCACTTATGACATTTATCATGTTGCTGTGTAGCTACTCACTGACAGGTAGACAATGCTACAGCCCAGCAGTGATTTCACTGAGCCCCAACACCTCCCCGTACCAGTTCTGGATCCTTGCGACTGGCCAGAATGTTCCCATTCTCTCCACCACTCTGTTTGTTGGGGCTTTTCACCCTTGGTGAGCTCTCCAAAGGAGGTGGTGGAGGGGGTGGTGGTGGGGCCACCTTCTCTTTACTTGGAGAGATTGTCTCTTCAAACCATTGCCCAAGGATGGGTTCACTGTCATCATCTAACACATGAGATAGGAAAAACAAAACCATATTATTATAAGCAAATACCTTATAAAACTACTCAGCCTGAAAAAGGCCTAAAATGGAATTTCAGTGAGCAGAGTTAAGACATCTGCTATCTTCATTTCTGCCTTCCAAATCACACAGCGAAGCACTTCTACAGAGCTTCAGCAGGAATTTACAACAAGAAATTACTTCCACTCCTCTTGAGCAAATAATGTCAAATCCCAGCCACTCAGGTTTCAGTTTACACAACAGACTCCAGTCAGCACTACTTCTGCCACACAGACCTTACAAACTGTTGGGTTTTTTCAGCCTCACACGTCATTTCAATCTGAGCAGGCAACAGCCCAGTAGCCAGGTTCCCCCTAAATCTGAAAGGCAGTGTAAAATCCTGATTGCTGCAAACTCTGTTACCTTGGCTGCTGTCCTCCTCAGTGCTGCTGAAATCATCCTCATAGTAGGTGTTGGAGTCAGTGGAGGCACTCGCGTCGCTGCTCATGGAGCCCTTCCTCTGGCGCTGCAGGACACAGGCCTTAGAGAACAGCACATTTCAGGATTATGAAAGGTAAGAATTTGAAAATAAGAGTAACTTCCTCATGCCTTTTAATTTTCTTCTAGCTAATCTTTCTCAACTAATTTATGGACAGTTTTTGAAGGCTTCTTCCACTTAAGTTTTATTTCAAATTACACAGGATGGTTGGAAACAAACAATCTATGTCAAGTTTGTAAGCAACACTTGAAGTCAACAGCTCTAACCTAAAAGCATCGGTTTTGAACACAGGCTTTTCATCTTCCCATTAAACTCACAAATACCACTGAACTTACAGAAAAAGTTCATTTTCATTAGAATGAGTTTGTCAAATACACATCTCTGAAAAGAGGGAAGACAGAGGCCCCAGCTGACGACTTCTGAAAGAATTCTACATTCCTCTCAGCACAGTCACAGTTTGAAAAGTGAGAACTTTCCATGCTTAGGGGTGGTTCAGATCCAGAAGTTCTCTGTGTGCCAGTTCCTACCTTTCTGTAGGAAGTGGAGAGCAAAGTCAGCAGCAGATTAGTGAGTGGCACAGAGTCTATGAGCCGCTGAATCCTCTGGATGGACGTGCTTTGAGCCATGATATCCAGCACTGCTGGGGGACCATCACTCTCCCAGCCCTGGAGCAGAGAATTTAAAATTGAATTGAAAACAAGAGAATTGACAAGTGTGTTTGAGTGCAGAGGGCAAAATGCTTCACGAGAACACGCAAAGGTCCCTGCATACCTTGTGCAATGCCTCCACTTGCAGATCTTGGAAGAGCGATGACAGCAATCTGATGGCATGATTTGCCAGCACCACCGACAGCACACCAAACCCTTGGTGCCTACAGAAACACAAAGGACACAGCACAATTTCAGGGGGTAAATAAATAAATAGATAGATAGATAGATAGATTAAATTGAGTGAACTGACTGCCTTGATAAACTGAAGAAGATAACTTTTCTTTCCAAGACTCAAGATTTGAACCATAAATGGAGTGAAATAAAATTTTGAGAGACCAGCAAGACCCCACAGTAGTTGCTTTGCTGGGCATGGTTATATCCATGGACAATGATTCCTGCAGTGGGGTGTTACATACCCTTTCCCAGGTCCTAGTTTGGGAGACCCAACACCCTCCTTAGTACGAGCAATAATGTCTCTGACACGAAGAGCAGCCAGTGGATCCTTCTCCTTTCCCTTATCAGCCAAGGCCGTGGGGCTGAGGTTCAAGATGAGGAAGAGGCTGTTCAGCAAACACCAAGCCCCGAGCAGCTGGAAGTTCTGATAATGCTATCATACCAAAAGTCAGGAGGAACAGGGGAGAAAAAAGCACCAAGACAAAACAGTATCAATCCAAATGCCAAAACAGACCAGCACAAAAATAGGGGAAAAGCTTCCTGAGATGGAAATCTTACCTCACCCCCTGCACGGCGTGAATTGCTGATGGCTTGCCCAATCATTTCATAGATTTCAAGCTGCAAATAAAGCCAAAACATTGGTAAGGTGCTCCACTGGGCAATAATAAAAATAAAAACTCAAAATACAAGTGTATTTTGCCCCCTAGAATTAGCCACTCTTTAATTCCTTTACCAGCAAGGCTAATGCCTAGAAATAACAGTCGTTGCAATCCAAATAAATACAAATTCTACACATTTCATGCGCTGAAATGGAAAACAATGAACACTCTCTCCTTACTTACACATTTCTGTACAATAGTAGCAGCATCGTTTTCATAATCTTCTTCTTTGGAACTTGTGGACCCGGTTCGTACCTGTTGAGTGCTGCCCACGTGCAGGATGGCCATGCAGGTGGCCACGCTCACACCTCAGGGGAAACAAGTGCAGGGAGAATTCTTAGTAAGAGCCAATCTTGGGACAAAATGTTCCTATTTAGTACATTAAAATGTGTCCGTAAACTTGACGGAATGGGGAATGCTCAGTATCACAGCTGAGATTAAAAAATCTTCAGTACCCCCAAAAGAGGAAAGTTTTATCCTACAAAACCACATGGGAACAGTTAAAAGAGGAAATGGTTTACTATGTAATTCAACATCATTTTTAAGGCTATCTTCATACTTGAGTGCCATATCTCTTTAAAGTCTCCTCCATGCCAATTAAACACTCGGGATTTTGGTGTACTTAAACCACTCCTGGAGAACAAAGTTGATTTGGGGCTACAATCAATTAAGTTGAAGCCATAAAAGCATTGTAAAAATATATTATGCTCTGAACGTTACAAAAAGAGCAGAAATCACAGGCCTTTAAGATGCTAAATCACTCAGCCTTTTTCTTAGATACTGACAAGAACAGTGGCAGAATGTACCAGCATTTCAGGGCCACTGTAACAACTTCAATATTAACCCAGTCACGCGCTTTGCCGCAGAGCTTTCAAATTCACGAGAAATAAAGGTTACCTGTGGGCTGAGCCTCACAAAGCAGAGCAAAAAGCTCCAAAAAACCAGAGGAGATCCACTCACCTGCATAGAGACAGCTGAGAGCAAGAACAGTCACGTCTTGGAGACGTGTGGGAGTCAGGGGCTCCAACACAGGCAGAGAAAGAGTATCCAGTGCCATGGTCACATCTATCACCAGGGAGTGGAACCTGCAGGAAGGACACATGTTGAGGTTCAGCAAAGTGACGAACACGAGAGCTCAGAGGAGCAGACAGTGAGCGACACTGTCCCACCAGCAGAGTCACTTCCCCTCAGACCTGCGGGGATGTACCAGGAGGTACCAGAGAGCAGTGACGGCACTGACCCGTTGCGCACAGCGGTGGCATCGGCCACCGTGGCTGGCATGATGAAGAAGGAGTTGGCTGACACAGCATCCTGAAACCTGTTGATGTATCTCAGGAAGTATGGCAGGTTCAGGCAAACTCGCAGCAGCTTTTCAGAGCCACCTACCAAAAATAACAAGTGTTATTTTACTGTTTCATCAGAGAGCTTCTAAGCAGGACAGATCTAACGGTCCGCAATAATTGACTTAATTAGTCTTTGTGGTGAGAAAATGTCATCAGAAATAAGGCAATAGGATAAAGAGTAGTTTACAACACATAAACCAGTTGGTCAACTTTCCAGTCCCTACTTGTAACGGGTGTCACAAAGCTCTGTGTCCATGCCAGATGGCACATCAGGTCTAGTTGGTTGGATGTGATGATCTCCAAGGTCTTTTCCAACCTTAACGATCCTGAGATTCTATTCCATACCTCCTCAATGACCCATCCCATAAACTGTTTCATATTGTCCATCTTATTTACCCCTCACAACACAAACATACTGACTGAGTGCAATGAAAACTCCACTCCAGCCACAACCTCCCCTGGCAATCACTATGAATCCTTTAGGCCAGAGAATTTCCTCCCACTCAGAGCTGTGAGGTGAAACACTGAGAGGCATTTTTCTAGCACTTTTTTTGACCCTGAAGCTTAGAAAGCTGATTCTCACCAAGTTCTTGCAGGCTGGCCACATTCTGAGCAATGAATATGCTTTTGGTCTTTGCTGCAGAGGTTTGATCCGTGGCAGCTTGATCCTCATTCTCTCCTTCCACCTAAAGCAAGCACATACTAAATATATTACAGAGGCATTAAAATATACAGTATTGCTGTACGTCTCTATACAGGAGCAAGGTGGATCAGCAGCAGGACTCAAAACAGCCATGGATATCACTGAACATTGCCCTCCATGAGGAAACAAATCTACTACTGCCAACACAATGCCAATTGCCATTTTCCACTCAACGACATGCAAGCAGGATTTAAATACTTAAGGTTTTCCTTACACTTGTATTAAACTACCACTTGCAGTCCTCTGCCCTTCCCTGCACTATGTTACTAATGTTAAAATTCAGACTTTAGGTTCTTCTGGTTCTACTTTAGGGTTTTTTCACCTGTGTCTCTTGTGTGATGGATGGTGATGATGAGACTCTGGGGTTAAAGACTGATGTCAACTGGTTGAGGAAGTTCATCTGCACCTCCTTCTGTCTCAGCTCTGGGCTCACCGGGGAGGCCAGTTCCTTCTGGTCCTCAACTGCAGGGTAAACAACAAACCACCGTGTCATACAGCAAACCTCCAGGACTTTCTGTGCCTAACTCCAGTGCTGCAGGGAAATACACACAAATGTATTTCCTGCCTACCATCAGAGAGGGTTTTGACAGTCTGAGGCAGCTTGGCTGATTTCATCATTGCTGTGAAGGTGATAATTTCTGTCCGGTCCAGGCGGCTGCAGCCCGTGCACAGTCCCTTTATCAGCAGAATGAGGTGTTTCTACAAAAAGAAAACAAAAGATATAAAGTACAATTTAAACTCTCTTGATTCCAATTATTCCTCCATATCGTTTACTGTAAGCAGCTGGATTAAGAGTAATGCAACTTCAGCTGGCAAGGCCACTGCAACAGCTCTAATCCACTGGGATCTCACACCAAAGATCGTGACAGATTACTGACTGCAGGTAATTCAGGTCACCAACACTGGCCCTGTGCTTCTTATGGAAAACACCTGGAGAAGCTCTCTGCGATACACTAGATTATGTGAACCCTTCTCACATGCCTTTCCTCTTCTAAATAGATATAAGCTTTCCCAGATGATTAGAATACAAGCAGGAAAGAAATCACCTTTAAAAACACAACAAATAGTTTTGATCCAGGTTGTTACACAAAACCAAACCAGAATGTAGGAAACTGCAACAGAATTAACCAAGACTTCAGGTCACCTTTATTTCAGGTTGTAAGCAACCTGAGATTCTGAGTAAAGAATGCAGAGGGAAGACTCAGCCAGAATCAACGGTACACCTTAAATATTTTAAGAGCTTCATTAATAATTTTGCTTTACGCATGTAACATTAGAGCAAATATTTCAGATTTAGAGCCCAAAGTCCATTTTCACACTCAGGCTTGGCCACACTGTCAAAATCTGTGCTCACCTGTGACACAGCACATGCCTCATCTGGGTTCTCAAGCCGCAGCAGGGAGAATTCAATGAGGACTTTACAAGCAGCTGCCACCGACTGCAGTTGGTTTCTTGGTACTGAAAAAAGCAGATCCTTGTACTTAGAATAAGTTTTTAAATAATTCAGTGCAATAAGTTCCCAATGCTGTCAGTAGAAAAGGGTGCTCTGCAGTGTGGGCACACACACAGTCCATCATGCTGAACGTACAGGCTCAATATAAATTCAGTCTCATGACAATGCAATCCAAGAAATGACAGTAAATCAGGATAATGCCTTCTACCAGACAGAGAAATTTAGACATATAAAACAGTTTCCCCAGCAACATTATTTAATGCTGACAGAAGCACTGAAGAACATGAAACGAGTCCACAAAGCCCGGTCTTTTTTTGTTGAAATTGCTAAATTGTCAGTCAGAATAACAGAAAATACTTTGAGTCACAATGTTCAGATCATGAACTCCAACACAGCAACACAACTACAGAATCCTAGAATGGTTTGGGTTGGAGGGACCTTAAGTCTCATCTCATTCCAAACCAGTGCCATGGGCTGGGACACCTTTCACTAGATCAGGTTGCTCCAAGCTCCATCCAACCTGGCCTTGGATACTTTCAAGGATGGCAGTGTTCTAACTCCTTAAAAATAATCTAAAAATCCTGAAAACTGAATCAAAAACTCATTTGACCAAAAATTAAGTCAGGCCAATGAATAAGCAACCAAAAAGGCAACGCTGTCCAGTACGTGGCAGCCAAACACTCCCATCAACAAGCTTCCCTTTTCATCAGAACTGACATTTTGTCAGGATAAAGTCTGATACGTATATAATGTCAAGTCTGATTCAGCAAGAGGGGAAAAAACAAATACAAAAATGACAACAATTCTGATTTACTTTCACTATATCCCAGTCACAACACAAGAGCAAGAGAAGCAAAGGAAGGGGAACACTTACTTAGACCACACACAGTAGTAATGTAGTGTGTGGAAAGTGCAACGAAGGAGGAGTAAAAAGGCTCATATTGTTTGTCGTGGTGCAGGATTTCAGATTCACTGCAATGGGAGAACAGGAAAGATGTGTTAATCGGATCCAGCACAACAGCAGCACCACCCAACACCCAAATATATCCATTAACAGAGGTAAGACAAGACCATTAACAGCTCTGAGAACACAACTCATGTCCTCAGAACTGAGCCCACAAGCAGCAGCCAGATCACGGCACCGGCACAGCTATCCACATAGGAAATTTAAGGAAATAATTCCAATATTGTAAATGTTTCTCCTTTAAAGCATCAACAGGTCAGGCTCTCTCCCAGCCAGAGGCTCATTAACCTTTAAGTTATTCTAAACTCAGTTGCCCAGAGTGTTTGGACTGTGCGTTCTGCTAACGCTGGCAGGATTTGCCAGGCCTGGAGCACAGGCATTCCCCTTCTGTCATGGCACAGAGGCAACTGGAGTTTGTGCAATTCTGCAAATCAGAAGGATCAAACCAGGCAATTGCATAATCACAACAGCGCAGCATCTGCCATGAGCTGGACAGAGAAGGGTTTTGGCAGGTAAGTCAAGTCTCTGAGGTTTCTGTGAGACCCACTGGCCATGGAGATCAGCTATTTCTGACAGAGGTGACACTGTGCAGGTTAAAGGCTGCTGCAGTGGGGCCCCAACACACCCCATCTGCACAGAAACAGAACACACACAGCTCTGCCTCCACACCTACTTCTGCCTCTAACTTTTCCTGTGACAAAACTAGGGGATGTGGATCTCTGCCTATAAATTACTTTCTTTCACATTTCCAATCAGTGATGTGAACAAGCAAGTTGGAAGAACAGATTATTCAACTCAGGCTTACTTACAGAGGTTATTCCTGGAGGGCTGGTGGAGAGCAGAGGGCAGCAGTATATCCCACACGCTGTACCCAACTCCAACCATGATTCAAGCTTTGGGAATGACCAGTGCTGCTTCAGAGCACCAAAATGAACCCACATATCCCTTTCACTCAGTGACACACAACAGTGCAGCTTCATCAGGGTGGGAGGAGGAAAAGGAAACACCATTCCCTGCTGACCTGAACAAAGCCCAATTTATGCCCAGTCACCTTCCTTTTTTCTATGCTAAGTGATTGTTTCCAGTCATAACAGCAGATGCAGCTGAAACAGAAGAAACTCTGGAACGGAATCATTTCTCCAGAAGAATGAACAGAAATACTCATGAGCTTTGCAGTTTGATTTCCTAGATTTGAGACTTTATTTTATTTAGTCTGTCTAAAAAGCTGAAATAGAAAAGCGCAGAGGCTTTACTTGAAGATATTTAGCAGCACAACATGACTGAGCTTCAACACCTCAGGCTTCACCTGAGCATCTCCTGCCAGAACCGCTCTGCTGGGCAATGAACATGCAAAAAAGTCTGTGCTCTCTCGGACACTAATTTTGCTCACCCACCTCTCAGGCCCAACCCCAAATCAGCAGCAGGAGATGCGTGTGACGTATTTTAAGAGAACTAATTAGAACAATTTGGGAATAACAGAGTACAGGAGAGGTTGGCAGGCTCCTCAATTACTGCACAGGTCAAGGTGTGCAACACACAATGCCCACGGGGTATAGGAACACAAAGGTGCAGTATCCAGCACAAGAGAGAGAATGTCACCTGGATTGGGCAAGGAGAGGGTTGAGTTTTAGTCAAACAAGTTGTGGGTGTTATGGTAGTGCAAAGTGGAAGGCAGCTGTCAAGTAATCATGAATCCTTGAAAATAAATCAATCTGGGATGTGCCAGAGTGTTATTCTGCATATACAGTGAAACTTAATAAGAACTTTCAGCTATTATATTGTGGTTTATTGTTTAAAGGACTTGTGCTTCCCAAGGAAGCTCATTTCTCAGGCTGGGCGAGAAGCCTATCGATATCAATATAATGTCAGCATCAAATCCCAGCTCCTCTCTCAGCTCCACTCCCAAATCCCAAACAGCCCAAAACAGACCCTTTCTGTAAGGCAGAAGGCACAAAGCAGCTTCTCCTTGAGAAGGCACCACACCAGGTGCAAGAATTCTGCCCTATGGAAACCCCTTCCCCCAATACCAGCCTCATGTGACTGTCCCAGACTCCATGTTCCACTTCAGCTGCACCTTTCCAAGTCAGCATCTCCCTCATTTATGCCAATTAAGAGGCCAAATCCTATCAATGCTTGAATGTACCTAACAGGGTGTCACGTGAAATGGGGGATCATCCCACACAGGGCAATACCAGTAACCCGACCACAGTTAAATTTATAAATGAAATAGAAGAGTTGTTAAAAATGGAGTTTATTGATTTATTTTGAAAACAATAAGACTAGTGATTCCACTGTCATCACACCAAGTTAATTTAAGGGGAAATCCAGTCACCTTGGGGTTGGCTGACACCACCAAGAACTTAACAACCACCTTCTAAAAATAATCTGAACAGATAAAATATTTCAGATGAGAAATCTAAAGATAGATTCTTGTTCAGCACAGAAAAGCACAGCTCTAAACACCAACGAGCTGTATTTATACCTTTGAGATTTGCCAATTATATCAAGGCATGAAATAAAAAGTATCACCCTGCAAGAGCCCAAATCCTGCCGGATCATCAGACACAACTCCAACCTCAGGCAGTGCTGCTTAAAGGCAACAAACTGTTCTCTCAAGTGGGAAATGGAACCCGCATTCCCAGTAAAGGAGGAAACAGCCCACTCCCAGAACTCAAGTGGGTCCACTCAAGTGTCTCCAGGATATTCTGATGAAACACTTCGCTTTAGGCACACAGACAGTGGAACTCCGCACAGACAAGTGACACTGAAATGGTCCTTAGAACAAAGATAGGCCAAAAAACTGCCCAAATTCCATCGGCACATTCTGGGTGAACCACTGCTCCGTGTAACAGGTACTGAACTCTTTGCACTGAACTCTTTGAATTTGGAGCATCCACTGCACACTCAGCCATTTGTTATTAAGAAAAACACCACGAGGCTTTAATTTATCATCTTCCTTAGCGCAGTGTTTATTTTACGTTTCCCAACAACTTACTGTGGCCAGGGTTATCCGCTCCAGTATGCCACTGGAGCGTTGTGGCATTCACACCTCCTATTTTAAGTCGTAAAATAAGCTATAAGTTGAATTAAACGGCTGCAGTGGGTACTCATGCTCGGAGTCCAACGCTTCTGGTTAAGAAAAGGCAGACCTGATTTGGTTCTGCTTTATTTCTCCTTAAAATATGTGAAGTATTGCAGTGGCAGAGACTTAGAGGGAAGTCGGGGCTCACCCCCCGGTCCCCTCAGGACCCAGGTGAGACAACACCTCCCCCGGCACCGCCGGACAGACCGTGACACGCCCGGACAAAGGCAAAGCCACAAGACCAGTCCCGAAGGCTCTGGGCGGGCGCCTGCCCGCAGTGCTGCGGCCGGACGGGCACCCCCAGCCCGTTACGGGGCCTGAGGGCACAGCCGGGAGCTCCGGACAGCGGGAGGAGCGGGGAACGGCGCTCGGGGCTCCTCCCGGGCAGCCGCAGCCCCGCCGCTTCCCCTGCCGGCACCTGGTACCACACACCGAGCACCGGGTACCGAGTGCCGGGTACCGAGCACCAAGTACCGAGCGGGACCCGCCTCAGCCGCTCCCGCACCCCCAGCGCTGCCCCCCTGAGGGGAAGGCAGCCCCGAGCGCGTGGCCCCCCTCACCTCTCGATGACCGAGGCGAGCAGCTGCGGCAGCTCCTTCATGTCGAAAGCCGAGTAGGACGCGGAGAGCAGCGGCCGCACGGCCACATCCCAGCCGGGCCCGGCCGCGGCCCCCGCGCCGCCCGCCGCCATCTTGGGCTGCGCTGGGCCGGGGCCGCGCCGGGCAGCGCCCCCTGCCGGCGGGGGGCGACCGAGCAACGTCGCGCCGCCCCATTGGCCCACGACGCGGGCGCGTGCGCACTGCGTGAGTCAGCAAGTTTGGCGCGCGGCGCGTGCGCCGTGAGGAGGAAAGGCGGGAGGAGGGGGGGAACGCATGCGCTGTGAGCGCGCCACTCCCCCCGCCGGCTCCCTCGGACGGGGGGAATTGGAGGGGACCAAAAACCGCTCACATAGCCCCCAGAAAAGCACCGAAATGGCCCAAACCCACTTAAGTGGCAAAACCCCCCAAGAACTAAAAGCCACTCTACCCCAAAACCCCCACTCAAATGGCCAAAAAAACCAATAGCCCAAACCCACTTAAATAGCCCCCAAACCCACTTAAATGGCAAAAAACCCCAATAGCCAAAACCCACTCACATAGCCCCAAAAAAGACTTAAGAGAAAAAAAGCCCTCAGTAAATAGCAAAAAAACACATTTAACTAACCCCAAACCCACTAAAATAGACAAACCCCCCCACTTAAATAGCCCTCCAAAAACCTAAATAGCCTCAAAAACCACCCAAATGCACCCCAAGAAACACTTTAATAGCTCCAAAAAAACCCACTTAAATAGCCCTCCAAAACACCCAAGTAGGCCCCAAGACACCACTTACATGGCAAAAAGAACCCCACTTAAATAGCCATAAACCCCAGTTAAATAGACCCAAACCCCACTAAAATAGCCCCACAAAAAACACCTAAATAGTTCCCCAACCCACTTAAGTAGCCCAAAACCCCCCACTTAAATGGCCCCAAACCCACTTCAGTATCCCCAAAACCGCATTCCCAGCCCAAGGGCAGCCTCTGCTCCGCAGCCCCTGGATTTCCTGAGGCTCTGCAGCTGCACAGGGGCCAGATGGGACACAGCCTCTCACGGGGGAACAACTCTGCCAATCTTGATTATAACACTTTAAACCCACGGAGTTGAGCCGTGATCAGAGGGAAGCACTGTGAGGTTCCTCACCCTGGACCACAACACCTTCATCTCATGTTGTATAGAAATCCAGGAAAATGTAAAACACATGGGAAGGAGCTGCCGTTACCATCATAATAAATAAAGAACATGGAGAGATTTTACATTCCAATTCCTCCCACAGCTCTACAATGGCATCAGTGACTCCATGAGGCTGTTTCCCACCAACACCCACCCAATTTCTAAACATTTTATTTAAATAACCCAAGGTCTCCTCCTTGCACCAGGAGCTCACACATTTCCAGTCCAGCTCTCAAAGTACAGCTGCCAACACCCCTCGCCCCTCCCCTCTGCCATATGTGGGGCACAGTTGGCGCTGAGGAAGAGCCAGGGATGGAGAGGACACGTGTCCTTAGTATTCTCTTCACCAGCATCAGGGAGGCAATGTGATTTTAGGGCTTTATGGGAGGTTTGGGACGTTCTTTTTCAGTCAGAGCAGACGATGTCTCTTCCATTTCTCCTCAGGACACAGGTGGGCTGTGTTTTGTTACACCAGCAGCTTTTCCTCACAAATATCTTCCAGCAAGATGGAATATTGATGTTTGCATCCATCAGGTGAGCTGGGATCCCAAGAGAGCCCAGCAGTGGATCCCCAGACAGTCCCACCCCAGCTGCCTTCTCCAGGCCCACCTTCCCTCAGCGCCAGGCCCGGTTGAGCAGCTTCACCTGGGCCAGTCTCTTGGTGATCATGGTGGCAAAGACCAGCCCAAAGAGGACACTGCTGATCAACACGTAGTCATAGTCATCCTTCAGGACATCAAACTGCTTCGAGGGGTACACGCGGGTCTGGAAGATGTCCAGGCCATAGACAACAACCTGCAGGGGGGACAGGAGGAGCTGGTGACACAGCTTTGAGCATAAAAAGTCAAAAATTATTCACTAGGGGTTATAGTTCTAAATAGCTCCAAAACCCCACTTAAATAGCAAAAAAACCCAGTTGCACAGTCAAAAACAAAAAAAAAAAGCACTTATACAGCAAAAAGACTCACTTAAATAGCCCCAAAAAATCGTGTTCCAGATTAAAAGAAGGAATGTTTAAGCTGTGAGCAGCCACGTTATTGGAATTACAGAGCTCCCAGCCACAGGCTGCGGTATCGTGCCTGTGGATCAGGATTTCCTCCCAAATTCCACGGATCCGCACTGGGTCTGCACCCTGCACTCACCAGACAGGTGGACTCGAGGCCGGAGGGGGCTGTGTAAATCCCCCTCATGCGGGATATGGTCTGGTTGTAGTTGATGAACCTCTCGGCATGGATCTGCACGTCAGGGGAGTATGGGATCAAGTTCTCCTCCCTGAAAGGCAGTTAAAGCCCAATGACATCCCAATAAAACAGCACACTGTCATCAGTGTTTCCTACTCTGATTATCTCAAGCTGATCTGAAACAGCAAATTTGGAAGCTTTTCCCTGTGCAGATTCATTTTTGCAGCAGGATGAAAATCAAACCTATCAGCTGGGTCAGGCTAAACTGCAGCTGCCTCCTTCCAGGCTTCTAAAGTTTTAAAAATAAGTGTAATTCTAAAAAATGTAGTTACTCTGACTGCTCTTTTCTAAGACTGTAGACAACAGGCTGATTTACTAATGACTGACCTGCTGCATTACAAACACATCCCATCATCACAGACTGGGAACAGAACTACAGAATCATTTCGTTTGGAAAAGACATCTAAAATCATCGACTTGAAGAAACCTCCCTTCATTCCATGCAAAAACTGCCCTGACTCCATTCAGGACAGGTTGTTCCACTTCACACTTCTGTTTTTCAAAATCCATCCCTCCTCACAGCTGCCCAGCAAGAGGGCTTATCACACCTTCCTTACCTGCTCTGTTCCGTCGGGATCTCTGGGCGCCGAGGATCCAGAAGAGCCTTTGGAAGCGACAGGATAGCCCCAGAGGGAAGCCCAACTGTGCATTAAAAGAAAAGCATCTTAAAAATCACAGAATCACAGAATTGTTGGTGTCGGAAGGGACCTCTGGAGATCCCCCAGTCCAACCCCACTGCCAAGGCAGGGTCACCTCGAGCAGGCAACACAGGAACGTGTTCAGGTGGGTTTGGAATGTCTCCAGACAGGGAGACTCCACACCCTCCCTGGGCAGCTGTTCCAGTGCTCTGCCACCCACAGCATAAAGTTCTTCCTCATGTTGAGATGAAACTTCACGTGTTTTAGTTTATGGCCATCACTCCTCCTGCTGTCACTGGGCACCATTGGAAAGAGTCTGGCACCCTTCTCTGACACCCCATGGCCATTTCTGACAGCATTTTCCAACATTAACACTCTCTTGGGTGCTTATCCTTGCACTTGCAGGAGTCCAGGACAACCCACAGGCCTGATTCTTTGGCAGCAAACTGCATTCTGCTTGGATTTCAGTGCTACTTGAAACCCACCAAGCGCAGAGCAGGCACTTACTGAGCAAGTGGCGGCTGGTGATGCCCCGCTCGGTGATTGTGGCCTCCATGGCACTGATGGCAGAAGGGAAGATGTAGGATTGCTGGAGAACCTGGGGCAGGATGGGGCGGTCCAGGGAGCTGAAGGCTGTGGCGTTGTACTGCTCTGTCCCCTCGTAGAGCTCCAGCACAGTGAACTCATTCCTACGGGCCTTCGTGTTCCAGTACTGGTACTGGAACGAGGAGATGTTTAGGAATATGAGGCAAGCAATAATACAGAAGGAGCAGGAGATCACAGAGAATGCAGAAGGCTTTTTGACCATACGGGTTCAGGAACTGCCCCAACCTCCCAAATGTAAGGAACTAGACGAGACTAAACTCTTACCACCACCCAGTTCTCTGAGTGAACCATGTGGACGGGTCCCTTGGCTTTCTTCTGCACTGAGGAGTGGATGATCCTGCCTGTGACCCCATCAATCAGGTAGATCCCGATGAACGTGCGCTCGTGGTGTGTGTCTGTGCTCTCTGTCACCACAGCGAGCAGGTTTGGGTTCAGGGACTACAGAAAAACAAAAGACAATGGAGATCCAGCCCCACTTTAGTGCCACAGACACCTCGTTCCTGCATTTCATCTGGCACTGGGCAGGTTTGGGTTCAGGGACTAGAAAAAAAGAAAAGAGATCCCCTTTTAGTGCCACGAGCTTCTCGTTTCTGCATTTCATCTGGCACTGAGCTTATCATAAGCAAATTATCTCATTAGCTCAAGTCACCCAAACAAATCAAGCAGTTATTTTTCCAATATCAGATGTTTGACTGACTTAATTGCTGCATGAAAATGTGTTAGAGTAGAAATCTCCACCAAAATTTGCATCTTCTGCAGAGGGTTATGGGAAAAACTGGCACCACAAGGCAGCTAATCTCAAAGTAGCACCCAGGAATGATACTGAGATGTTCCCATGGGATAATGCACCCACAGAAAGTCAACCCAAAGCTGGAACAGCACCTTGTAGAGGACGCTGCGGTCGCCCATCACACGGCCCTGGGAGTGCACGTGCTCGTTGGACCTCTTCCCTTTGACAGCCACAATCCTCTGCACCTCCGGGGGGATCACCACCTCCCAGCTCTCCTCTGTGGTCAGGTCCTGCAAGGAAAAAGCAGCTAGGAGGTTTGATCCTGTCCTCAACAAAGCACCACCTCCATCAACAAGATGCAGCTTTCTCTGCTTTTGCATTTTAAAAGTTTCTTCGGCACATGATGAGGCTGAATGTTCCTGGTCTAAGCAAAACTCCACAAATCAGACAAAGAAATCTACCGTTATCCGGGAAAGTGGCATCACTTGGACTGCAATGAGTCTTCCCTACCTTTTTCAGCCTGAATCCAGAAAGTTTTCCCTGCTCAGCATCAACTAGATAAAAATAGATAGAATGGGCTATTTCTTCTAACTGGCGAAGGACGTTTTTAGTGGCCGGGAAAGCTGTAACCTGGAAAAGAAGGATTGAAACACAGGTTAAAAACCAACTGACACAGAAAGAAAAAAACAAACAAAAAAACCCCAAAACAACAACAACAAAGCAAATGAACTAGAAATATTATTTCAAACATGTTTATCAGGATAAGGTCTGTCTTACCAGAATAACTTCATAGTTTTGTGTGAAATGAGACCCAATGGCATTTGTTTTCATCTTGCTCCAAAAGGGAGGGGGATAATTAACCAGAACATGAAGAAAACTGCATCCAGGCAAAGCCATTTACCTTGTACTCATCATCAATTAGAAGCAGGACTTTGGCATAGTCTTGATCCATAATTGGCAGAAGCAGAGTCTGGAGAATTGGACGTTTCAGAACAGGGGGAGCTACTTGGCTTCTCTTCCCAAAGATGGGGTTAAAGACATACAGAAAGCTCATTTTGGTTTCCTAAAAGACAAATAAAAGGCAAAATCTTTTCTAAGGGAGAAAAAAGAGGTGTTTTTCTAACTATTGCTTGCTAGTGTGGGACTATTCATAGCCAGGGTTCAGCTACTCCACCCTGAAAATATTCTGTGTGGACACAAATATTCTCTATCCCACATGTGTCTTATAAAAACTATGACTACTCAAGTTTTTCAGGCTTGTGTGTCTTCTTCCCTACAGGTCTCTCTCTCCTTCCATACCCACATCAGTGATAGTCAGATTATACCCAAAAATATGGTTTTTCCTGCTCTTTACAAAGACACATTTCCAGACTAAGCCAGCTCAAGGGAGGGCCAGGGAAGGGGCCTCACCTTGTCCTTCACAAGCAGAGTGCACTGTGGAGGGTGTGGGAAATGGGCTGTTGTCCTTTGCACCATCAGCTTGAAGGAGGAGCCTGGTCTCACATTCCTGAGGTATTGCTTCCACAGGATGGTGCCAGAACTGCTTTCAATGCCAAAGAGCTGATCACAGAGATACAGGAAAGCCAAAGTTTAGGAAAACACACCTCTCACATTCAAACACTGCATCTTCCTTTGTCATATCCCAAAGAAAGAAGAGTCTTAGTCCCTCTTTAAAGGTATCACAAAACATCCTGTGCACCCCTCTCATGACATTCTGTCCAAACCTGGCTAAAAACAGGGCTGGAAATTCAGAGCTGAGACTCTTTGCTACAGTCTAGAAAGAGATTCCTCCCCTGACTTCCTCACCTTTCCTGAGGCAGTGACCATCACCATCATTTTCTGGAGGTTGAATTCATCCCTGGCCAAATTGTCAATGTTAATCTCATTTTTAATCTGGCTTCGGGGTTTCCTGGCATCGTAGAACATCTTCCAGAGGTGAGCAGTCCAGGCTTGCAGCAGGATGAGCTGGGAGGACAGTCTCTTCAGAAACATCCCCAGCAAACCGTCTGCAAATGACACCAACAGTGACAAGAACAGGGAAAACATGTCCCACCCCATGACTGAAATTATGATGTCGGCCAGTACAAGAAATGCTGCCATGCACCAACATTTGCCTCCCACTCTGGAATAACAGTTATAGTTATCATTTAATGACAGACTCTGGCACTCACAAACCTTTGCCTGCTTCACACTCATTCCAAAATATGTCTGTATCAACTGAAAGCAAACCTTCATGCAGAGTATTTTGTATTCTTTCTCGCTGTGCCCACCCACCTCCAAGGTCTGCATCTCCCTCTGCACTCAATAAGTAAAATACTTCATTCTGCCTGATGAGGGTTTATATTTAGTTCCTTGAAATAAACACCAGACCAACTCTGTTTCAGCCCTGAGGAGAGCAAGCAGAGGAGACCAGTGGCACCAGGAAGCACTAGGCAGGAGCAGAGCACACTGCATGCAGGCTGGGTTACCTTGAATGGCTGCATCCAGGACAGCAAGGAAAGACAAAACAAAGCAAAAAAAAAAGGCTATTGGAAACAAATCTTCCAGAAAGAGTCAAAGGAAACATTTAGGAGAGATGGCCAAAATCCCTCCTACCGCTGCTGACTGGTTTTTCAACGTAACAATATAATATACTCATGTCATCTGCATTTGACATTGGACTTCAAAAGTTTAGACAGAAAAGGGTTTATTTCTGCTCATTTTAATTGCCATCAATAGAGATCTGAATTCATCTCTCAGCTCAGAGTACACAGAAATAAATACATTTATTCAGGAAGAAAAACAAACTCACAAAGGCCTTTCTGTTAAACTCACCTGCTTTTTTTCCAAATTCCCCCTCCAGCTCAGCCTGTGCCCCTGTCAGAGGTAGATCCACCATCTCCAGGCTTACCACCTCTGCTAGTGACTCCTCTCTACTCCACACAACTTTTCCTGGAAAGAAATTAGTAGAATATTGGAAAAATGAACTTAATACTTGGGAATAGGACTATGTTCCAGTGGACCCTTCAAATGCAAATCCCTTCTTCCGAAATGCAAAACAGTGTACACCTATCTAATATAGCTAAATTAACTATTTCATAAAAGACAAATACTTCATGCAACTGGAGCCACTTCCGAGAAGAAAACCACAGGATCAATAAAAGCAATGTGGTGTTTTAAAAGGGAGTCATTAAGTCTGTTTAAAATAAGAGATTCAACAGTGTGAACTCCTGGATTCCTTTAAAACCTCAGAAAATTTGTGTCACTGATATGGACTTTTAACCCTTTCTGCAAATTAATATTTTTGCCATGACGATCTTTTCTGCAAAACTTTGAGGAATCTCTACACCTGGACTTAGATTTTCATCCTACAAAAAGTTTTGAAATCTGCAGAAAGCCCCTGAGACTCAAAGGCTCTGCCTACACAAAGAACACAGCAGAACTCTTCGCTCAGGTGAAAGAGTCTCCTGTGTCTTCTATGGGACTCAGAAAAGTTATATTAATTTTGCCGGTGTCCAAGGAAAGTAATGATAAAATAGAATCCTTTAGGACTTGGAATTTTCTTCTGGCCACTGTTACAGGTGGAGGAAGCTGTTTGTGCAATTACCTGGTTGCTGGAGGAAAATGAGCATGTGGTCTTCTGTTTGCACCAAGGCTCGATAGCCCACGGAGTCATCCTTCTTCAGGAAAACTTGGATGTATAGCTGGGAAAAGAAGAGCAAGGAAAACAGGTTTATGATCACACCACCTAAGAGAAAGAGAACTCAGGTGAAACAAGAGCAACAGGGGGATAGTGTAAACCCCAAAATGCTCTTTCCCATTGCCTGAAGGGTTCTCCCCATCCTGCCAAATCAGGGAAGGGAGGGCACTGCAGGTCTGAGCAACCATAGGACTGAAATAACCCCTCCCTCCTCACCTGCTGTGGTTTGGCACCTCCTTTCTCCAGGCTAAAGGTAATCGTGGTATCCAACAGCCTTTGTCCAGTTTCAACCAGGTAGAGATTTAAATTGTAGGTTTGGTTGGAGCACGTTAAGGAATCCTGGAACAGCAGGCAGAAATCAGAAGTTGCACACATACCACACCAAAATCTGCACCAGGATTCCACATTCAGCAAGGACTGTGGCTTCAAAACATTTTTAGGTTCTATATAGGAACAGCTGCAAAACAGCAGCTTCTAAAAAGCTGGTGTAACACCTTTGTCATTCTGTTCCTGCACACAAAGGAAAAAAAGGGACTAACAAGAACTCCCACTGCTCCTGGGAACAAGAGCACCTCATACCTGCCTCCAGGCTTCCTCCAGAGTACTTCCAGCATGAAGGCCATCAGCACTTCCAGGTTTCTGAAATGAGAATGAGAAGAGATGTAACATGGCTGCAGACACCAGTAAGACTATAAAAAATTAGGTTTTTGAGTGCCTGACAAGTCTCAGTTTGACTGTGAAATCAGGCAGGAAACAGTTCTGCTCTATTATATACTATCTTTTATTAACCTACGTTTGATATCCCCAAGAACTGAAATTCTCTATGGATCAGTAAATCTAATTCCAAGGTCACGTGCCCACCTTACATAATGCTGAAACAGGACACCACGTTCCACTGAGCCAGACCCAGCCTGAGCTGGACACAATCAAGCCTTAATTGCATTACCACCGAAGCTCATCAAACCCTCCTCTTCCCCAAGGGACTTCCCATCCCTGAGCCTGTGAAACACTCTTGGAACCCACTCCCAGAGCACATCCCTAGAGCTGTGCTGGTTCCAGAGAACAGGAACTGTGTTTACCAGTTCACTCCTGCATGTCAGGACAGCAGCCACTGTCTTCTCCCCGGTGGTTGCAAAACTCACCAGAGCTGCCTGGAAAGAAAAAAATAGCAGGAAATCACTAAAAGCAAAACCCCAAGAAAACCCCCAAACCCACCAAAAACTGCTTGTGAAGTAAATAAAGCCAAAGTGGAATTAAAAACAAATAATCTTTCACAGCCAAATTTTGAATTTTATATTGTTTCCCCCAATAAAAAAAAAAAGTAAGACTATTTCTCATAAACATGGGAACAGTTGATCTGCCACAGGTTTTTGAAATATTATGCCCAGTTACTGAGATTTTCAAAACCTGCCAGCTGGCCTAAGAGTTCTGAAGGATTTTAAGCTGCAGTTGGCCCTCTGGCTGGGTACATTTGTGCCGGGTACCTGCTGGAAGTCCCGGAGGTGGCTGAGCAGCCCGTGCTTGTACTGCAGCAGGGAGAAGTGGCTGGGAGAGAGCTGCAGGAAGAACTGGGTCCGGGAAGCACTGGTGACACTGGGTTGAGTGGCCAAGATCCTGGCCTGGAAGTCATCTGTAAACTCCAGCTCCAGGGACTGCAAGGGAGACAAGCACACATGTTACTGAGACCAACACCTTCCTCCTCTCAGCAGCAATGCAGCCACATGGAGAGATTCCCTGGGTCAGGATTAACAAAGCAGGAGCAGAGAGGCTGAGGCTCCCATTGGAGCAAAGCTTTGAAGACATCAATCCAGAAGGAATGATTAGACAGACATAAGCTTTCTCACCCTTCCCTCAATTTATGAATCATGACCCGCCAAACCTCTTAAGTCATTCCACAGTTCACTCACAGGCTGGGTGAGGCACCAAACCAGCTGGGCAAGGAATAACATACAATTCTCACCTGCAGGGGAATCTGCTTCATCTCATGCTCTGTCTCCAGAGAGCAGACGTGGAGCGAGTGCGTGTCCGTGTCCACACACACCAGCACAGCCTCCCCCACCACACCACAGGTGTGCTCCAGGCTCTGCAGCCACGGGGCTGCCACTCTCACCTGCACAACCACAGACATCAAGGTGTCAGCACAGTCAAATCTTCAAGGCACCAATATGGACACAGCCAAGAATTCAAGTCAGAATTATTTTTCCCCAGGACTGGGAGACACTATCTGTCAGCCTGAGGTTTATGAGATAACCTTGACTAACAGGTGCCACTCTAATTCGGTTTGGCTTTCAGGACATTCAGCCATGAAATCCATGTTCTGGCCTGCAGGCAGTGCCTCAGTGGAAGGAAAGTTTCTCTGCACCACAACCATCGAATCCTCTACCTACCACAGCACAGCCCGTGGGTTGGAAGCACATTTGTTAACACCAAACCCAGTATTTGAATCCACAGTTGAGCACTACCTGTTTTGTAATTTCTCCATCCTCTGCACTGAATGTCAAGATGTTCAGGTGGCTCTGGGAAACGATTCCAAGCACGTGGATCACTCCAGTCCCGTGGGAATACAGCAACTGGTACTGAGTGCTTTCACTGCGAGAGAGGCAGCAACCATGAAGCATCACCTTCTCACGCTGCTCTTTTCAGAGGTTTTCAGAAGCACAAGGCAGAAGCAGCACCCTTCCCTCTGCCAGGAGCTCCCACCACTCCTTCAAACGTGTTCCCACCTTTCTGGCAAGTGTTCCACCCACTTCTGGTGCCCGTTGGACAGGTAGTGCAGAGACAGGGCCGCCTTCTTCAGCACTGCCACATATTTCACTGTATCCTGGAGCCCCACCAGAGCAGCTGCCTGGAAACTGAGCAAAGCCAACCAACAAGAAATTAGGGAATTCCTATTTTACCCTCTAGGAGGGTCTGGAGCAGCAGAAGCGGCTGAGGGAGCTGGGGGGGCTCAGTCTGGAGAAAAGGAGGCTCAGGGGGGATCTTCTGGCTCTGCAACTCCCTGACAGAAGGAGGGAGCTGGGTGGGTTCGGGTTCTGCTCTCAGGGAACAAGCTGTGCCAGGGGAGGGCCAGGTCAGACAGCAGGAGGAATTTCTCCATGGTGGTCAGACCTTGGAAAGGGCTGCCCAGGGAGGTGGTGGAGTCTCCACCCCTGGAAGTGTCCAAGGAAGGACTGGCCGTGGCACTGAGTGCTCTGGGCTGGGGACAAGGTGGGCATCAGGCACAGGGGGGATCCATGCGCTGGGAGGGCTTTTCCAACCTCAGTGATCCTGGTGCAAGGTCAGGCATTCATAAAGAATTCACCCAAAACTTATTCTTGAAACTTTACCTCTAACTAATCTTCCTCTACAGTGCAAGTCCAGAGAAGGTCCATAACCCCTTCCTTCCTTCCCAGCCCAGCAATACAAGGAGAGAAGCCAGTGCAGCCAGGAAATCCTACCTGCCAGTGTCCAGGGACGTCTCCCAGTTCAGTCCCCCGATGTTGGTCTCCCAGGAGCGCAGGATTCGCCCTCCGTTGGACACACTGACGGCATCTGCCCGGGGAAACACGGAGCAACAAAGCCACGAGCTGTGCAGCTCCAGCCTGTGCTCTCACACTCGGCTGAGCTCCCACAGTCCCGGAGCAATCCCAGCCCCGGCACGTGCCCCTTACCCTGCCCATGGATCAGCATCGCATCGATCGTCCCTTCCGCGGTTCCCTTGTCCACGTGGCGCCACACTGGGGAGACACAGCCCAGCGAGAACAAGATTAGCCCCCCCAAAGGCATTTCTTCCTATTATTTTTAAGCTCATACAGAGCACAGTCTGCCTGCCCTAAGCCACAGCTCTGACCCGTCGGCTCTGACCCGTCGGCTGCCCCTTCCCAGCCTGACAAGGCACAGTCGGCAGCGTTCACCTTTCAGGAGTAAAACCCAGCACGATTTGATCGACCCGTCAGCCCCGAATCGGCCGCACTCACGGATTTCGCCGCTCCGGGAGTTCAGGGCGGCCACCACGTTCTCCTCGGTGGCCACGACGAGCTTCTTCGAGCCCTGCGAGGCCTCCAAGGAGGCGAATTTGAGCTTCCCCACGTACTGCTGCCTCCTAGGGAGGGAAGGGAGCGGCACTGACACGGGACTCGGGCCAGGAGGGGCGCGGGGCCTGCCCGCGGGAAGGGGGACGCGGCGCGGCGGGACCCCCGGCGCTCACCAGTCGAACTTGCCCACTTGGTCCTCGTAGACGGCGGCGGCCAAAGGCAGGAGGAGCGGCAGGAGCAGTCCCAAGAAGAGCAGCCCCGCCAGCGGCCCCGGCCCCGCCGCCATCACAGCGGCCCCAGCGCCCGGGGGGCCTCGGAGCGCCGCGGGACCGCCCGCGCCGCCGCCTGCGCGGGGAAAGGGCGGCGGCGCCTTGGGGAGCGCGCAGGCAGCGCGCGGGGCAGCCCTGGCCGCTCCCGGCAGCCCGCGCGCCGCCCGGGGGCCTCGGAGCACGGCGGAACCATGCCCAGGTCCCGGCGGGACCGAAAGGGTGAGAGCGGGGCCGGCCTTCAGTCCCTTTTCCATTCCCTTCCCGATCCTCATCCCCTTCCCATGCCTGTGTCAGTGCCCATCCTCGTGCCCACTCCCTTCCCCATCCCACCCTAACGCACTCCTTTGCTCTCCGCAGTCTCCCTGACGCGGACGCCCCGGAAGGGGCTGGAGGCCAAGCAGGCGCTGATCACCGAGGTGAGTGGGGCCCTGTCCCTGTCCCCTTCTCCCCTTTCCTCCGTCCCAGTCCCTGTCCCGGTAACGTCTCCCCCGCAGCTCCGCCGCTGTGTGGACACCTACAAGTACATCTTCGTGTTCTCCGTGGCCAACATGAGAAACAACAAGCTCAAGGATGTCCGGAACGCCTGGAAGCACAGCAGGTTGGGGGACCGGAGGGGCTGGAAAGGGGGGAATTCCCAAGGGGTGTGAGCTCCCGGGGCTGACATCCCCCTCCTCTTGCTCCAGGATCTTCTTCGGCAAGAACAAGGTGATGATGGTGGCGCTGGGGCGGGCGCCGAGCACTGAGTACAAGGAGAACCTGCACAAGGTGGGCACTGGGGGTTTCCTGGGTGTCCTAAAGCTTCACCCGCCTTACCTCACACCACGGAATAACAATCCCAGGACACCAGAGGTCCTCGGGTCACCGTTTTGGGCGTGTTTTAATTGAATCCATCTGTGTCCTGACACAAAGGGTTTGTTGTTACCAGAGCTTTTGCAGCTGTACAGGACTGCAGGTGGGTCCCTGGTGCTGCTTGATCCCTATGGATGCTCCTTCTCTTCCAGGTCAGCAAACACCTGAGAGGGGAGGTTGGGCTCCTCTTCACCAACCGCACCAGGGATGAGGTGGATGAGTAAGTACTGTCTGGTACAGCCCTGTTCCCATGTAACCACTGCACTCCCTGATGCTCCCTTAAAGCAGGGATGGTCTCATGGGGTTTTCCACTCATTTTTCTCAGCCATCTCTCTGACAGCAAGGAATCGTGGAATGGTTTGGGTTGGAAGGGACCTTAAATCTCATCCAGTCCCAACCCCATCCATGCGCAGGGACACTTTCCACTAGCCCAGGTTGCTCCAAGCCCTGCCCAAACTGGCCTTGGACTCTTCCAGGGAAGGGGCAGCCACAGCTTCTCTGGGCAACACAGGAACTTAGGGCAGGCTGTAGCCAGAGGAGGCTGAAGGTCTTGTTGCCTGTCCCAGGTGGTTCTCCAAGTTCCGAGAGGTGGACTTTGCCCGCGCTGGGAACAAGGCACCGTACGGGGTGAGCCTGGACACAGGGCCCTTGGAGCAGTTCCCACATTCCATGGAGCCGCAGCTCCGGCAGCTGGGATTGCCCACGGCGCTGAAGAAAGGTACTGGGGCAGCTGGGAAGGGCAGCCTCGTGTCTGTCTGAGCAGGGAAGATATCAGAAGCAGAATGTTAAATGGAATTTAGATCTGCAAAAATCCCACGGATGTTCTCCTCGTTGGGATGAGGCTAGAACTCCTTATGTCCTTCTTGTGCTGTTCTTCCCAAACTCATGTCAAAGGATGAGTCAAAGAACAAGCTTTCTCCAAAACTGTCCTTTTCCAGTGGGAACAGCTGGGATTGACCCATTCAGAAACCAGACGGGGGTTTTTTTTGAGCTGACCCAGCTCCTTGAGGTGCACTAACATTGCGTGGAAAGCTCCAAAGGGTGGTGTTGGAGGGAGTCCTGGCTCTTCACCCCACATTTCAGGGGGTTACCCAGTACCTGGGAGCCTGTTGAAGGGATTTTGTTCCTGCAGGGGTGGTGACACTGCTCTCAGATTACGAAGTCTGCAAGGAAGGGGATGTTCTCACCCCGGAACAGGCCCGTGTCCTGGTGAGTAACACAACAGCCCCGTTTCCTGATACAAAATAACTAATTAATGCAACCCCTGAAACTCAGCAGCAATTATTTTGGCTCCTACTCTGCAGCACTTCCCACCTGGAAGTGGTCTGGACTGTTTTGCTAAGCTGGACACAGAGACGGTAAAGCAGGAACACATTTGTGTCCTCTCCTAGAAACTCTTCGGTTATGAGATGGCAGAGTTTAAAGTCACCATCAAATTCGTGTGGAATTCTGAGACAGGAGACTTCCAGAAGCTTGTTGGAGACACAGCAGAGGAAGAGGAGGATAATGATGATGACAGCAACGAGGACTAGCAGTGTGGACACCAGGCAGTTCTATTCTATTTTAGAGACAAAAAGAGGAGGATGTTTCCCTCACCTGTCTGCAGCTGGACAAGGATGATCAGCTCAAATGTGCTCTTTGTAAAAAACGATCTAACTATGCTTTTTTTATATATATATAAATCTGTATACAAAACTTCAGATGGTTGTTGCTGCTGCCTGTTCCTGTTTGTGTATCCCAGGATCTGAGAAAATTCCACCTCACATGTGAAAACCGGGCAGAAAGGGTGTAAAGTTAATGCAACTTCAATGTAGCACAGTGGGGAAAATGCCAAGAGTTTGTTATTCTGACATAGAAGAAGATAATTTAGCTCATCCCTGGAATTTTGCCCTCTCCCTGAAAGAGTACAAGACCAGGCTGGATGGAGCTCTGAGCAACCTGGGCTAGTGGGAGGTGTCCCTGCTCATGGCAGGGACTGTGATGAGATGAGCTTTAAGGTCCCTTCCAACCCAAACCAATCTGGGATTCTATGATCCCAAGTCCCCAAGTGCTGCCAGCCAGGTTACAGGTACAGGTCAGAGATGGGAGCTGTGTTAGAAAGAGGTTTTATTCTTGTACGTAATTATTTAAGATTTCACATTAAAGCAGAACTGGGGTTTTCACCCCATTAATGTGTTCACTTTCCTGATTAACTGCAGCTTTAATTACGGTGCTCTGGGAACCTGGAGGGCTGGGAGGGAGGAATGACCAAGGCACAGCCCAGCACAACAGCAGTTGTGGATCCTACAAAGCTTCATTAATTCAGGAGAAATCTCAACCCATTTGCTCATGGCTCAAAGGGCAGGGTGGGCAGTACCTCTCCAGTGCTTCCAGAGCCCTGTGCTCTGTTCTCCGCCCCCACGCTGCCGGCGTTCCATCCCTGCTCCAATCCCTAACGGAAGTAGTTGGGGCAGTCGTGGGCATTCATGTTCCAGGCTGCATCAAATGCCTCCACCACGGCTGGGAGCAGGGGACCCTCCTCGCTGTAGTTAAGGTTCTGCTCTAGCTGCTCCATGTTGGACATCCCGATGATCACTGCATCTCCAAGAGAACCCTGGGAAGAGATATGAGGTGCTGCTGATCCCAAAAGAAACCTGGTTCACCCCTCAAGGATTTAGACAACTGACACTACAAAGTTCTGGTCAGAAAGCCAGGACATCTCCAAGTCATGCCAACTCCTCAAAAGCTGCCAAATCCTACTTAATGATGGGCTACAGGAACATGTGGGGGAGATGGGGAATATAACCATTAGTTTCCTAGTCCAAGGAAGAGCAAGTGCTCTCCTTGCACAGAAGCTGAGTGGGCGGGAAGCCAAGACCCCACTAATTAGGACTTAAAATCTTCCACTTCTTCCAATCCTAAGCACAGAGGATACCACGGGGGACACAGAGCTGACTTGCTCGAGCAGTCCGGCAGAGTCCACACAGCGATATTCACTTTGGAACACCGCAACTCCATGGGATGTGCAGATTAAAGGATAACTACACTGAAATGTAGTTACACTGTCTGTGTGCACAGCCCTGGCAGCACTGCCCAGACTGTTGGTTATGGCCAGGTTGAGCTCTCACCTGCAGTTTGGAGTGGTTGTAGAGCCAGCGCAGTGCAGCTGAGGCCAGGCTGGGTGGGTTGGAGCCATAAGCCTCTTTCAGAGCCTTTTCCACTAGGGCAATTCCCTCAAAATTGTGTTTTTTCCAGTACCTGCATGAAAAGAAATCACTCTTATTGCCCTTGAGACCTCTAGTGAGGGGTACATCTATATTCTAACCAAAAGGAAGCTTTGTACAACTCCTTATAGCCTCTGAGGACTTCTGCAATCTCCCCTGCAAGTTGTAGGGAAGCTGAGCATAAAAACCACCCTGCAAAAGCTCAGTCACATGCCATGGCCCCAACCATGCGTGCTGATGCAATCCCTGCACAAGCTTTGGCCAATTCTGCTTCCTCTCAGCTGATGATTAGTGTGTTTTTAATGCAGCCATTCCTTGTCTGTCGGCTCAAAACATACCTGTCCCTGTAGGCCTGAGCCCAGTCGTTCCCAAAAAATCTCCCAGCAGGCTGGCGCATGTCTTTGTCCTCGTACTTGTACTTGCCGGTCAGGAGCCCTCCTGCAAAGGGCAGCAGCAGGTTTAGGGCTGGGCTAAATGGGCAGCCCCCATTTCCCAGGGTTTTGTCCCAAAGTCTGGCCTTGTCCCCTCCGTACCTGCCAGGGGGTTGTAGGCGTAGAATCGCAGCCCAAAGTGCCTCAGGCAGGGGAAGAGCTCAGCCTCCACCTGGCGGGTGGTCGCGTTGTACATACCCTGCACCAAGGGGGGGACACAGCTTCAAACACCAGCTCAGGGCAGAGCACCAGCCTCTTCCCACCCTTCCCTGACAAGACTTAACCAGAAGAGAGCCTTCAGGTGATCACAGAAGGTGATGATTTGCTTAGGAACAGACTCGCTGAAGGATTGCAAATAATGCAAAAATTTAAGTTTCACAGTAGGGGAGTCACTGACTCCAGCAACGAACACACACTCAGGTGTTCCTGAGCAGCGACCTCGCTCAGCTTCCCAATCACGTGTGTCCGGAAACGACATGAAAAGGGTGGTCAGGCACCGGAAGGGGCTGCTCAGGAAGGTGGTGGAGTCCCCATCCCTGGAGGTGTCCAAGGAAGGACTGGCCGTGGCACTCAGTGCTCTGGGCTGGGGGACAAGGTGGAGATCAGGCACAGGGTGGACTTGATGACCTTGAGGGTCTTTTCCAACCTCAGTGATTCTGACTTCTCAGACTAACTGCAGCAGATTCCTTCTCTGTTTATATCTGGCACACTAGAGGTTGGTCCGAGATCTGGGAACCCCAAATCCCAGGTATTTCCCCACAGCAATACCACCCCTCACCTGGTACACAGTTGGCATCACCCAGTTGTTGTACTTGCAGATGGTGCAGATTTCTGCCACCTCCCATGCTGCATAGTTTGACAGACCAAGTTCTTTAAACTTTCCCTGCAGGGGAATAAAAGAGAATTCAGTTCCAGTGTTTAAAAGTTCATTTGGACCCAGACAGTGCAAGATGCATACAGTGAAAAGGAGTCACCAAATTTTAGTCCAGAGTGCTCACTACTCTCCACCTTTCCCAAGAGACTATAAAGACCTGACAAAAATATTTCTCATTTTCTGCTCATTTGGAATTCACACTCTCTAATTTAAATGGCATAGTTAGATGAATGCAATTCAGGAATTCTTCACCCATTACCAGCACTAATCCTAATCCAGTCAGTTAACATGGCTGGAAGCAAAGTTCAGATGTTCTACGGCTTCCAAGAGCTTTTGGGAGCAAAGTGCACCAAGTGAGCACCCAACAGAGCGGCAGCTGCTCTGCTCTGCCCTGGGCTCTGTCTCCTCTTCTGAGTGTTGTACAAATCTAGTGCTGCAGTGGGCACAACACGCAGCCCTGGTTTAAAAAAAAGTGGTGGGAAGGAGGGAATCAAGGATTGTCCAGGCTTGGACTCTCCACTTTACTTCTTTGTGCAGCTCGTTGCAGGCGCGCAGCGTCTCCTCCACGGGAGTCCCGTGGTCAGGAGCGTGGAGGTAGAAGAGCTCCACGCTTGTCCTCTTCAGCCTCTCCAGGGATGTGTCCAGCTGGGAGCGCACACTCTCCGGCTTCAGCGTCTTCCCATCCCAGGGGTTGGCCTTGGTGGCCACTTCCACTGGCAGAGAAAGAAGGAATGAGCAAGGAATTTCAACCTTCGGGAGGAAAACAGGGATAAGGGGCATAACCAAGCGTTTGAGGTGTTTCAGGGAAGGTCCCTCTCCTCGGGAACCACGTCAGCCTGGCAGGGGAAACTCTTCCCCAGATGATTGGGGGTCTGCCCTGGAGAGGGAAGGGCTTCTCAAGGTCTGGGGGTCAGCACTAAGGCCTCCCCTCAGGCCTGGCATCAGCCTGGCAGGGAAAACCCTTATCCTAAGGGAATGGGCCTGGGAGAAGTCCCTTTTCCTCAAGGAGGGAGTCAGCCTAGCAGGGAAAACCCCTCTCCTCAAGGAATGGACTCTGAGGAAGGTCCTTGTCCTCAGAGACAGCCTGGCAGTCAGCCCTGCCTTCTCCTCAGCCAACGGGGCCCCGGGGAAGTCCCTTCCCTCGGGGAGTCCCTTCTCCTCAGGGAACTGGCCCAGGGGAAATCCTCCTCAGGGACAACGTCAGCCTGGCAGGAGGAATAAGTCCCGAGGCAAGTTCCTTTTGCTTAGGGAGTCCATTCGCCTCAGGGAAGACGCTCCTCCTTAGGGAAGAGGCCCAGGGCAGTCCTTCGTCCTCAGGGACAGTGTCAGCCTGACAGGGAAGACCCCCCTCCTCAGGGCACGAGTCTCGAGGTAAGTCCCTTCTCCTCAGGAAAGACCGCTGACTTCAGGTAACGAACCCCGAGGAAGCCCCTTCCCCTCAGGGCAGCCCCCGTTCCCCGCGCCGTACCGGGCTCGGTGCCTCCCGCCAGCAGCGCACCCAGGATGCGCTCGGACTCTCCGCCCGCGTACATGAAGGCAGTGTCAAGGAGGCGGTAGCGGCGACGCAGAAAGGCGCGGAGCAGCTCCGCGCTCGCCTCGGGCCCTGCCCGCCGGCCCATCTCCATCGTGCCCAGCACCACCGCGGGCCGCGCTCCACCCGCCGCCATGGCCGCCATCGCCCGCACCGCCATTGCGCGTGCGCGGAGCACGGACCCGCCCCGAGCGCGGCCGGACCCGCCGGTTTGGCCGAAAAACAGCGAGTTTGGGCAAAAACCCACCGGGTTTGTCAGAAACCAGGCTCGGGAACAAACGCGTCTGTGGAAAAGCAGCACGTTTGTGGAAAAAAAAAAACACGTTAAGGATTTCACGGAAAAGCTGCGGATCTTGGGGGAAAAGATTCCGGCAACTTCCTGGCAGAGCCGCCGGTGCCGGGCAGGAACGGCCGAGAGAACTCGGCGGGTCCGTGAGGGGGAGCGGGGGGCACAGACGGACCTCCCAGCTTCCAAAGAGAGCGAGTTTCCGAGGAAAAATAAAGTCAAGTGGCGAACGGCGTCGGTGGGAGGTGAGTGTCGGTGCTGCGGGGACACGTCGGGCTGGACTTCGGCTGCTTCTCTTGTATTTCCTTTTTTGCCTTCTTCCTTTTTTTCCCCTCTTCTTCTTTCTTCTCTTTCCTCTCCTTTTTTCCTTCATCTTTTTCTTTTCTTTTGTTTATTTTTTCTTATTTTTCTCCTTTTTTTACTTCTTTTTTCTTCTTTCTTTTCTTGTTTCCCCCTTTTTCTTCTTTTCCTTTTCCTTTTCCTTTTCCTTTTCCTTTTCCTTTTCCTTTTCCTTTTCCTTTTCCTTTTCCTTTTCTTTTTCCTTTTCCTTTTCCTTCCTTTTTTCTTCATTTTTTCTCTCCTTTTTTTCTCTTTTATTTTCTTCTATTTTCTTATTTCCTTTTCTTCTTCTTTTTTTTTTCTTTTCCTTTTTTTCCCCCCATTTTATTTCTTCTTCTTTTATTTCTTCTCTTTCTCCTTTGAGGCCAAACCCTGCTAGGCCGACAACCTTCCCACTCCTCTCATCCCTGATGCAAAATTAAGGCCAATAAAGGTGTATTATCCACTAATGATTCTTTTCCCCAACACGAGCTGGTTTCCAGCTGCATCCAGAGGAGCCCCAATCGTGTGCCTCA